CCGCGACAACCGCATTTCGATAGAATCGAAGGGCTAGAGGCCCGGATGCCTAAATTTAGGTGCACACTATAGAGTACCCAGGCATGTGGTCCGCATTTCCGAACATTCATGACGGCGTCACTATTAATTAGAGGCCGGATTTATAGGCATTAAAAACAATTTAAAGTACCGTAAATAGGCAACCAAAACATTTTGGGATTGCAGTGTCGTAAATGTAGGCGACATAAATATTCATATACATGCTAACAATCTCAAACGAACATGCGCGGGACCTGCGTCTATGAGAGGAAAGAAAAAAATGTCATTGTTTATAATGGTGCAAAGGCGCTATCATCAGGGCGTGGTCACGTGATTGTTTTTTTTTTTTGCACGGTTTGCAGACTATGTCTCCTTTCATTGCGTGGCACGGTGAGGCAACTGTCCACTGTCGAGTGAAAACACTCCTGGATGAAATAAAATGGTCAATTTCGCTCCAAACTCACGACCACACAAAGGAGTAAAACACGCATACGAGACTGTCACTCACTTGCAACTGTTTCTTCCTTGAGGAAACAGGCTAATATAAACCCACTTCTCGTCAATGCATGCGCAACATGCTTGCACAAGCTTCAGGCCCCTGCCCTTAAAAACATTTCACGACACCGGAAACCTCACGATCCGTATAGGATGCCTTCTGGACAGTGGTCTTAAGCTTGTTTGTGCAAGCGGATGAGGACAGTGTTTTTGTTGTGCTTCTAAGCGAACTTTATGAGGATGAGGCTGGACATGCTGTTATGAAGAACTTTGTGTTTGTTAAGAGAAGTGTGGCTATAGCCAATGGGGATATGTTAAAGCTATGTAAAATTATGCGCTTGATGATTTGCCAAAAGAAATAGCTAAAGGAAAACGGGAGGCACTGGGTATTTTTTTTTTGTGTGTGTGTGTGTGTGGCAGACTCACAAATAGACCGACCATTGCGCTTAGGGCGATTGCCTAATGAAAAAGAATCAGGGCAAAAAAAAAGCGTCAATCGCTTTCTGACAAAAAAGGTTAACGTGCTTTGAATTAGTGATTCATTCCTGATCAACAAGCCTGAAGATCTGATATAGTATATGCAGGATAACCATAATATTGGTTTCGCATTCTCGACCATTTCATTTTGATTTTCGGCGCTTTCATTTTCCTGCCTCCATGCTCGCCGAAATTCTCGTAATCGTAATGCATAACTTAGTCCACGCTTTAGGGGAATGGCTGTTATTTTCGCCCTACATTTTTCTTTGTATAGGCGTGGATAGAATGTAAGCAGAATATCCTACGGCCATTGCATATAAGGTATGATATTTGTATATTTTTAAGCCGTTTGCATGTATTATTTTTGTATTGTAAACTCGTCCCACCCTGCAACAACACGATAGGGCTCAAAGTATTGAAAATAAAGAAATAAGTATTACTTGCAGCGTGCTCCATTCAATTCGCCCTGTCGGCTGACCCATTCCGTTCTATTCTCACTCGGTCATTAGGCAGACAGTTGATTTACATTCCTCGAAGTCGGGTATCGGAAGTGATTAGGCGCGAGTCACGCCCGACGAGCGTTCGTATAGAGCTTTCCCGACGCCTCGGTCACGTCTATAAATGCGGTCATCGCGCGGCACCCTTTCGATGTCTCGTAAGTCTCTCGGCGCGAAACACCCAGATATTACCGCGCCAGCTGCTGTTTCGTTTCCCAACGCCCTTAACGCCCTTTGAGGCTCTTTTTTAGTCTTCTCCGCATGGTGCCTAGGACATCACGAAGTGCGAAAAGCAGGGCATACTCAAAAGAAGCAAGCGAAGAAAAAATAAAACCGATTGAGGTTTAACTCTGTGTAAACCTAGCCACCGTGAGCGAGAAGTGTGTTTAACTTGGCTTTGCAAATGCTATGCACACCACGTCATTATTCGGCTTGGTCACATATTACCGCCGTGGTGAGGCAGGCAGCGGATCAAATGGCGTCACACGACGCACTCTTGCACTTCGACTGCTATATAAAGGGCACTGCGTTGGGAGGACTTACCGTGGCAGACATCGCGCTTTCGTTCGAGTAACACTTGATTCGACCGGGCGGTTAACATCGCATGAAATTCCGTTGCTCAAGTGGCCTTCATGAACTTCGCAACGGTAACTCAACCTCATGCGTGGCATAACCAGTCGTATTACTAATTAACACTATCTTGGGCGTTCCGTGCGAACCGACGGTATACGGTGGTGAGGCGCGTCGTACAGTGTAGGACTCGGGATTAATTCGGATATTTATGGCTTTAAAAATGCATATAAATCTGTTTTTCTTAACGTTCTCGCATATCGCGCTTAACGAAATGTGACTGCCGTCGCTGGGGATCAAACCAGCATCATTGAGTGAAGCAGGAATCAAAGTATAAGCTTTGGTGTTTAGAGCCGTGTTTTGACGCGTTATTCTTTTCTTCTGACTTTCGTTTTATTTGGTTTGAGAAATTGGCTGCCTCTGTAGAATGTGTAAATTGCACTTAACCTTACAGGATTGGATTGGATAAACTTTTATTTTTTTGATAAACTTTTATTTTTTTGATAAACTTTTATTACTTAACCTTACAGGGACAGGCATCCATTAGAACAAACTTAATTGACACCAATAATGAAAAGAGTGTCTATTGTATTCTGTAAAACGATCCCTGTTTCTCTCGTTAAAGGTAGATTTGTACTTTCAATGCGTCCCTCAAGATTGCTTTTGGTGCCTCAAGCTGCAAAAAATAAAAATAAAAATGTATTTGATGGAGATCCCGTGATAATTTGCTTGTGCTCATCATTGATTGTCTCTATAATACCATTGAGAGGCAGTACACTTTTTAATATATGATTTTCTAACCTCAAACGAGTAAATATACCTTCGTTTATACTAAGAACAACAGTGGCGACGTCATCGCTATACGTATTGCCCGGCACGCATAAGCAGAAACATCAACGGGCGTTTTGCTTAGGGCCTATCGGTACCTGTCGACGAGTTCGAAAGGTGCAAGAGCACTTCGTGGCCTCCGCGTGCGGCGGCGCGTTGCGGGAACAAATCGCGGAGGCCACAAGTCTCGCACTGCTTGTAGAGCAACCTGGTGTGTTGGCGAATGTTCAGACAACTTATTCTACCTGCTTTTTATACTTGAAGAAAAAAAAGAGAAACAACGGTTTAAGATGTCAATGTCATGGTGGTTAACCACAGTGTCACTCACTCTTGTGAATTCAGAATCTAGAACACAATGGGGCTATAGAGATCGATATTGTTTCACATAGTTGCTGGAGGACGCTTTCGTGCATTTTTTTTGTTTTTGAGGTAAAAAAAATACTGTTTATAAAATAACCACCGAATTTTCCAATGAACCGCTGTAGCTGAAAACACTGCGAAGGCTGTGCATGCTTCATGTTGCGCAATAAAAATGTGGATCGATAAAAATCGGTTGTAAGTCCCTTTAGGCGAATGAAATTGCGCAAACCTATGGCAATGTATAAGAGAAGCGAATAAAAGATATTCCTGAATTTGAGAGACTGACAAGACGTCTGTAGGTAAAAAAAAAACATCATTTTTCTTTTTCTTTGGTGGGATGAAACTCGGTACTTTAGCATTTCGATTGAACGAGTGAGAGCAGAAGTAAATAGGTAAATAAATAAATGGCTGCCGTGGTAGCTTACAAGCTAAGGTGCGGCTCTGCTAAGCACGAGGTCGACGGTTCAATACTTAGAAGTGGTGGGATCACTTGTATAGAAATGTAATGCAAGAAAAAAATTATGGACCATCTCCCCGAAAAAAAAAACCCCGATGAGATACTAAGCAGCAGCGGTGCGCCGGCGTTGCCCCGTTGAAACTGGCGTTGACGCCGGTGCTGGAATAACGGTTTGAAGCGAAACCCGGTGTAGCGTTTACCAGAGTAAATGTTTGTGTGGAATGCAAAGACACGGGAGGTGAGTTCAGTTTCGTGTAAATTTTATCGCATGTAATCTAGCCGGAAAGAGTAGACAAATTTAGTCACGCGTCCACAGCAGCTGTACAGACGCAGCCTGCTAGCCATTTGCAGTAGCAGGCCGCGTCTCTACGGCTGCTGTGGACGCGCAACTATGTCTGTCTGTTGTTTCCAATCGACGTGCGGGTGAGCGTTGCGGGCGGTGGAGAGAGTGAAGCGAGAGAGAAGTGTGTTGCGAGCTTGCGGAGGAGACAGCAGCTGCTGCAGGTTAGGGATAGAGTGACGTCAACGCGCAGTTGAGGCTTGACCTTCTTGGCATCGCACTGCGGTGAGGGGAGCGTGGTGCGGTACGTTGGCACGGAGACATGGACGGACAGCGTTACACAAGCTAGTCAAAGAGCGGCTTCGCATCTATTATCTGCACGTACATTAAAGGCTCCCATGTGACAAATATTAATCTGGCGTGTCCCACTAAGGCATCTTTCACAATCACGCCGTGGCTTTTGGCATGCAATAAGCTGGATGTTAGTAATAGAAGTGAGCGAAATAACGTAGGAATAAATGCGCAAGTGAATATCAATTCATAAACATATTGAAATAACACTGTACTGGCACATTTTCAATGCCCTGGTGACCCGCCAATCCGGCCCCACCGCAGGTGGCATGCGTCTATAGATTACAATCTACGGCGTTCCGAGAATGCCGCATACTGCCGCTCCGCGCGAGGGGTAGTACGCAATACCTAGGGACGGCCGGCAGACCGGACACCGCGCGCGCTTCGGCTGTAGGCCAGCAGAGCGATGGGGGTCCTTCGCCCGAAGGGTGATCGCCGAGCGGACAAAAAACCGCGCCCAGCGAGGGTGGGCGCGCGTACAGGGGGCGGCCTTGCTCCGCTAAAACGGCGAAACCGGCCGCACTACTGACAGGACCCGCGACGAGCCGACCGGCGTGAGGCTGGCTGGCCGACCGGTAAACGAGAGGGGTTGCTTGGTCTCGCGGCTAGGCCTCGGGGGCCACCTTCTCCTTGCACCCCACCCTGTATAAAAACCAGGGCCTGCCAGGAGAACAATTACTGCCCGTTCTCGGTTTGTTATCGCAGCACACACCCAAGTCCGTCGACTGCAGCCGCCATGAACGCTCTGGTCTGTATACCGCATACACGTGCTCTACGCGAGCACGTGCAACCCTTTCACTTCGAGATTCGTGACCATCCCTCCCGTACGGCGTCCGCGCTGTTCCTTGGATTGGCCTCGCGCGAGATGATTCTAGGACATTTCGAATAAGTTTCCAGTCACGCGTGACCGTGGCAAAAGGCCGTGAATGACGCCGTAGGTCCCCAATTTTCGTGACGTCACCATCGCCAGGCGTGACGTCATCATGGTTGCTATGCCGTCCCGTGATTCATCCTGTCCCATTACCCTTTCCGGCATCGCACGCCATTTCGACGCAGAAGTTGACGGCTTGTTTCATTTGTTAAAGGTCACGAATGATGTCATAGCACGTGATAAGTCTCGTGAGGTGACGTCATCAACGCCCCCATCAACGTCACTCTCGTTACAACACTGTCACTTGACGCGATGTGGTTGGACATGTACCATGGCCTCTTGTGCCATCTAGCCCCTCTTGTGGCGATAGACAATTAACTGCTTGTTTCATTTGCTAAATGTCCCGAAGGATGTCGTGTGTTTCTCTTGTCTATACCGCCATTATTGTCACGTCTAAGTCTTTGTCGTTGCACCACTGTCAAGGGATCTGACTTAGCCCGTGGCCTCCTGTGCCATCGTACGCCCCCTCGTAGCAGTTCTTGATAGCTTGTTCCATTTTTACAATGTAATGAATGACTTCATAACCATATGTATGAGGCGTCATCGAGGCCACGGTGAACGTTAACAATTTGAAAATGTGAAGTGCTTCAACCCATACTACGCACTCTCGTTCCATTGGTCGCCAACTTGTGAAAGTGGCTGATAGCTTGTCAGCATTTCTGAATGCTTTAAGGTGCGTCGTAGGATTGGTGCCGATGCCGTCATCATCACAAGGAACGTGTTGATCCTTCCGACACTGAGCTGTGATCATGTTAGCAGGAGTTGACCGCTTTTTTTTTATTTCTGCTTCATGTTCTTCCGTCTCCTTTCTCTATATGGCAGGTCGGGAATTCTAACTATGGTCAAGAAACACATCTACCAGGAAGCTTAAACTGCAGTTTCGCATTTTATAGATATGAGCATATATACGTTGCGGCGCCTGCAGCATACATTGAACTCTTTTAAGATATGAGGCCACACATTTATAATATACGCGAACACGTGACAAACGATGTTTTAAGGTACTACAGTCGTGAGAGACGTTGCTTAGGCCGTCACTGCTAATTTTTAGCATTTCTGAATCTATCTGGTAAAAAGCTGTCTCTAGCTTTGTGTTTAAATGAGATTACATGGCACGCCTTATGCAAGTATCTAAGTGACGGTACCACGGCCGAAAAGAAGCCGCAAAATCTGACCCAATGGGCTCGTACGAGCGGCAGATGTTTCTAGCCTTATTTGCACTCAAGCAGCCCCACATTCTGCACGACACGAAACCCGGTAATCATTTGTACTGCATTTTTTTTTTCTTAAAAATGACGCTGTGACTATGTCAGCTATAAGAAAAACAAATACTGATGAGGAACTGTCATCCTCGCTGTCGTCTCTGCCTCAACTCCTGTTCATCTGCACAATGAATTGCAGCACTTTTAAGCATCGCCGACTTGGCTCAGTGTTGCGTACGATAACGAGCGAATTGAAGCCCGTTTTTGTTCCTTTGTCGTTTGCGGTTGCCTGCATGTTATCGCCGTACCTTCCAGAAGTAGCAAGGGACCCTGATTTCATATTTTATTTTTTTATTGGTCTGGCTTATATCTGCGTAACCATAGAAGGAAGGCCGAAGTCGAGCTTAGCATTTCGAACAAATCGGAACACACCAAGTACTCGTGGAGTTTCGGAAGCTTCTGACGCAACTTTTCTTCTTCTTTTTTTTTATCTCGAAAAAAAAAAGCACAATGAGAGCCCTCGATGCTTCTTCTATCGTTCCGGTATCTCGGTTCACCAAAGATTCTTATACATTTCCAGTAAAGCAGCTCCAGCCATTACCGCAATGCGGACCTTGGCGTATGCCCACGTGCGCTTGCGAATTCCAGCATCTACCGTGCCTCCATAATGGCGCTCTTAATACCTTCCCGAGCGGAGACAGGAAGCAGAGTAAGGCTTGTACAAGCGCCGGACCGCTTAAGTCCCATTGATTCACGGCTGGACTCTGGTAACTGCGTGGCCCGGCTTTCTCACCCGCAAGGTTGTTGCTTTTAAATGCGCGAGGTCGTTTGTTGTTAGTTTTTTATTGTGCCGTAAGCCTCAAGGCTATCCCGGGGTGGTCTTGATTAGCGTTTAAGTGTTATCGCACATCGAATTGAAGAGAGTGAATGCGCGGGCGTCGTGTTCAGTCTTGCCGACTGATCCGATATTCCAAAAGGAGGCCTTTCTTTCTCCCCCAGGTTGTGCGTATGGGTTGCCTCGATGGTCTTTGCTTGGCTTGGAAGTGAGCTTTGGATGAGAATAACGGTGGACACATTTCGCGTTGCAAGCAGAGGCAAGCTGTTGTGAAGAGAGTTTTTAAAAAAGCGTGATCGTCAGCTTTACGTATACAAGATGAGATGCAAAAGTAATCTGTGGGTGTTCTCAGTGAACCGGATGCAACCCAATATCAGTGACTCACGGTCGCCTAAATTTGAGCGCGTGATAAACTGCTTAACAATTCCGCATGAGCTGTAGCTAGGATCTTTCTTTAGTTACTTGACTATGTAGTGTTGCACTGCTCAAGAAATATGTAGCTTAGGAGAAGTGAAATCAGTTTGCGTGAAATCTGATGTCGTAGCGTTTAACCTTTAAATTCAGAAAATATATGATGATTAGACAATCGTTCGTCGACCTCTCGAAAAAGCAAGTAGTGCGATTGAGATTGATGATTAGGAGCAGATTGGGAGACAGTGAAGTGTAAAAATTGTTTCGATGGATCTATCAAAAAGGTTTGCGGTGGACTGTATGGCTATGCCCAAACTTTATAAACAGTTCATATGAGAAGAGCACGGCATGGCATTGACAGTCATGTATTCATGCTCGTTGACTGTCAAAGCTAAGCTACAACACCAATTTCACTGCTACGAATTTAGCACAGTTTATGGCGCAAGAAAGTCAGTAAAGACGGTTAGGGAACACTACAGTTCGGGGAAACCATGACAATGGATAGCTTCAAGCAATGACCCGTCAACATCACAAACGTGTTTTTTGGTACCAGCATTTCTGGTCATCACCATCAAAAGATTCGCTAAGAGAAACACCAGAGATTCTCGGGATAACATTGTTCTCTTTTTCTGTAGCTAGGCTGAAAGCTAGAATAGGCAGGAGGCCTAAATTTTTTTATTATTACGGCAAGGTGATCACAACAGAAACTTTTGATAACGCATGCACGGAGGAAAAAAGTTATCGACACTGCACGTTCTACTTACAAACCTTCCTATGCATGCCCTTTTAAAGAAACAGGCAAAGCTATGTCACTTTTTTTTCAGTAGAAATCTATAGTATGTGTTTCTAAGAGTTTCCATGAACGGAAGAGTTTCACAGAGTCTCTAGTCTGGTGAAATCGCATCCCAGTCAGATGCAACGCAAGGTTTTCTGCTGCAATCCAGGGGGGCGGGGGGGGGGGGGGGCGGAAGGAAGCAGGGATGCGGAGGAAAGCTCATGAGATGTTTTGGCAATATTTGTTCTTGGGAGTGGCAGAAGGGGGAGGGTGCGCAAACATTTAGGGGGCGCGTGTGACCACTTCACCCCTGCCCCCGGCTGTGGAAACCCTTGGTCCACGTAATTCACACAGCAGGAATGGGTGACTAAAACGGATGAACGGTGACTTTTGGGAGCTCGCGTAACTGTCACTGAGTGCAGCTCCTGCCTCCCGCAGTTCGCCGCCGTTCTTCTGGGCCTCGCGTCCTATGCCGCAGCTGGAGGATTCACCGCACCGTCGGCCTACGCCGCTAGCGTCTACGGACCGGCTATCGGATCCGTCGGATACGGTGGATACGCCGGACGCGCATACCTGCCCCAGGCTTACAACCTCCAGGTGAGTCGTCGTGCCTGTATTTACTAATATCTGAAGCGTTTGGGATCTTCTAGAGCCGAACATTATATGGCCGGGTTCTGCCGGACCTAGTTAGTCTAGAAATACCGCTTGGTGCAACAGTAGTCGTCATGCCTGTATTTACTGATATCTAAAGCGTTTGGGATCTTCTAGAGTCTAACATTATATGGCTGTGTTCAGCCGAACCTAGTTTGTCTACAAATACCGCTAGTACAACAACTTTCGGCCGATAAACCAACTCGACTAACTCAGCATTTTCGCTCGTAAGAAAGACCTAAACGTGCACAAGTTTCTATTACAAAACCGACGGACGCCCACAAGTTTGCCCCAAGGAGCGGACCACTTCCACAAGCGATGAACTTGGAGCTTTTTTTCGCACATTCGGAAGAACGAGATTTCCGGTATACTGGAGGATTTCATTTTGAGACCGCCAGTGGCAGCCCTAAATGATATAATATGTGTAATTCGCAGAGGAAATGCTGGTACTTTTGAATGTATGTCCTGTTACGATCACTCAGTACAGTCAATAATGATTATATATATATTCAGACCCACCTCTGTCTCACTTTCACTGTCTTCCACCTTGACAGCACAGCGCAAATGCTTTGAGTTTTGTGAAAGCTGGCGACCTTACAAACGTTTTTCGGTGATCAATGTAGGCGCGAAGCATTTTCAAGTCTCTTGATTTTGCGAAAAGACACAATGTTAACTCAAGCAATGTTATTGCTCCTGGACCTTTAAGCGTACCTCAGCAAAGCCTCAAGCTCAAGCCTTTTCATTCGCTCAAGCATTTGCAAGCATTTTCAGCTGTTCTGGGCATTTCATATGTAGCATGTATCGAACAGAACAGCTATTAGATATAACTTCGAAGTACTAGGCTCTATACCTAGCTAATAACGAGTTCCTGGGCGTGTTAAGGTGAAGTTCAGAAAGTTGCCTAATGCAGTATATACTTCGATTTCGCCCACACTTTTCGCAATTTCTAAGATTACAAGCGAAAAACTTGTCAGCGAAAAGCCAGCCAGCGAAGGAGGCAGAGAGACACTGTGCTGATGGGAAAGACGCTCTAATTCCAGCGGAGTTTGATAGGCACGGAGTTTTTAACTCTGGAACCCAAAACTTTCGCACCACGTGGCCCAACTTTTCACACTTCTTCTCTTCAGAATGATGGCTTGGTTACTGGCGTTTTCCTCACCCTACGTAATCGTGCCATGTTAAATTCTGCGATGTTAATATGGCCTTGTTATCATCTGCCACACAACAAACCAACAAAATAGACTCTTTTACCTTTGTCCTTGTCATACATAAGTTAGCGAGGACATTTAAGTCTGTAAGAATGAAAAAAAAAACTTACAGAAACCAAATTGATTGATTGATTGATTTGTGGGGTTTAACGTCCTAAAATCACCATATGAATATGAGAGACGCCGTAGTGGAGAGCTCCGGAAATTTTGACCACCTGGGGTTCTTTAACGTGCACCCAAATCTGAGCACACGGGCCTACAACATTTCCGCCTCCATTGGAAATGCAGCCGCCGCAGCCGGGATTTGATCCCGTGACCTGCGGGTCAGCAGCCGAGTACCTTAGCCACTAGACCACCGCGGCGGGGCCACAGAAACCAAATTCATGTACATTATAATCTTAATTATCTTGTCTAATGTCTCCCGCTGGATGAAGGCCTCCTCGATGATCTTCAACGCAACCTACCCTGCCCGAGCTCATTCCGTTTTAGTCTTGCGAATTTATTGATTCCTTCGCTCCATCAAGCCTGTTTACTCCCTGTCTTATTTTATTTTGCGGAGTCACTGACGAGCCCCACGTACTATTCGCAGGTGCGCTTCGGCGGTGGCATCAAGGCCGGCGTCGCCTACGGCGGCTACGGACACGGTGGATACGGTGTTGCCGTCGGCCATGGTCTCGGCTACGGAGGATACGGACATGGCCTTGCCCTCGGCTACGGTGGATACGGACATGGTCTTGCCCTCGGCTACGGTGGCTACGGACATGGTCTTGCCCTCGGCTACGGTGGCTACGGACATGGTCTTGCCCTCGGCTACGGCGGCTACGGATATGGTGGATACGGAAAGCTCTACGGTTAAACGGTACACTCGTCCTTCACGCTGTTCAATGGGTGTTCTTTAATTTTCTTAAAGCAGTTGAGTGCACCTCGAAAGTAGCAAGCGGTAGAACATATTTTTGATGGGATAGTGATGTTGAGGGGCACCTTTCTGGAGCTGCAGTGCTTTTGGTTCGACGATTGCCTTTCGGCGTGCATTTTTAGTTTGACGCGTATTCTTGGGCACTCATTTTGAGTCTTAAACTTATTTCGCGACGCACAGAATTCTGTTGACACTTATTTCATGGTGCACGATTTATGTTTCACTATATCCTTTTGAGGTACACCAGTTTCAGTCTTACGCAATTTTGGAGAAGTTTACTATCTGTCTCGCACTTACATTTGAGCGTAAAATTTCTTTGTGTAGCACTTTTGCTTGGAACACACCTTTTCGGTATCACACTGTCCTTTCGAAAGCCAGCGCACAAATGTCCCTTTTGACACAATGTCGTTTCGAAAGCTAGTGCGAAATTCTACCTGCTTCGCACTAATCTATAGTGTCCAGCAGTAAGAAAGAGCGGAGCAGGGTTGCCTTTCTTGTTTTTGTTAATTAGCAGTGAAGCTATTCTCGGTCACGGCTTTCACGTCCGGGATCTGTGTTAACGAAGGTGGGCATTTCAAACTAAATTTTTCCAGCATATAGCGCACCTTGGAGAACGTAAAGCAGCTCTTGTTTCTTTGGGTCCTTTATCATGCGACAGTAGACATTTTAAGTAGAACGACGGACTCCGAGAGCTTTCGTATAATATCTGACAAGAGGAGGGGGGGGGGGGGGAGTTCACAGTGCCGCGTTACGACGCATTGCAGACGTTGCGAATGAATGTCCGAGTTGCGAAAGTGTGCTCAGCTCCACACATATGCCTGCCAAAAAGCATAGAAATGCATCAAAAGAAATAGTTAAAAGTCGTTCAAATGGGCTATGCAGATTGCTGGTGCCTTGGCGTGCAATCTTCTTTCATGTCTAAATTAGAATTGCGTTACCTATGGGGTAGCATGTCATAGCGACCGCTGAGTTACTCTGCGCGACTTTCAAGTTGTCGAGAGTTCGACGGAATGCCGTCTGGTCAGGTAAAGGCATTGTTGAATAAAACTGGTCACTGACCAATGTCAAACGAAACAATGACGTTTCGGGACCCGTATGGATCCCTTGTTCACAATCATTGTGAACAAGGGATCCGTACGGGTCCCGAAACGTCATTGTTTTGTTTGACATTGGTCAGTGACCTGTTTTATTCAACGACTTTCAAGTTGTAAGCGTGTCTAATACTTTCATCCTGTTGGCTGACGATTGCTAACTCAGCGGTGTCGTGGTTTGCGGGAGCAAAGTATCACAGGTGCTGTGTTGCCATTGTGAATGTGTGTCCATACAATGAAAAATGTGCTTGAAGTTTGCGCTCGCGCGTGGCACATTCTTTCCGTTCTCATTTAGGAAGCTTGATGCAATTAAGCACGAATCAAATATTACCAACAAGCTCCGGCATGCACATAGCTATTTGGTTTTGGAATGGAAGCAGCCAGAATCTTTCATGGTCTGAGAGCAGTGGCGTAGCCAGGGGGTGGCACACTGAGCCCGTTCCCCGCCCCAAATTTTTTTGGCCATGGTATACAGAGCGAAAAATACATTTCAAGGGGGTGCCCCCCACCCCCGGACATCAAGAACGCCCCCCCCCCCTCCTTTGCGATGAAGGAAAATTTCTGCTACACCCCTGTCTTCGAGAGCAACCGTTGAATACGTTGAAACGTTGATAACGCAAGCGTTTAATTGTTTTTCTTGTTTCTTTTCAGACTCGCCAATCTTGAAGTTGCGTGCATGTAAATTAACACAGAACCCGGGCAAAGGCTCCGCAGGACGGATACTCAACATGTCCGCCGTCGGCCGATGCACTCAAAGAGTACAAACACATCGAGTATGCACACGAAACAACTCTCGCAAACACTCTACACAAAGTATAACACCCGCCACACGTGACAAGCACGACTCCATGGACCTTGAAACAAAATAAAACCGAGAACGTAAAAGCCTATTTTGCCACTCACTACAGCCGTTTGCGTATTAACTCACAATGACTAAACGTTAAGTTTGGAATGCTAAAAGTTTATCAACATAGCATTTTTGTGTGTGTGTGTGTGTGTGTGTGTTCGTGTTCGCTTGCAAAACGACTGTGATAAGCGATTGACGGAACAATGCGCATTTGTACGCTGAAGCTCCCTGTTTCGCAACTGGAGCAGCGCTATGCGTGTGTTCGATTGATTGATTGATTGATTGATTGATATGTGGGGTTTGACATCCCAAACACGCCATATCACTATGACAGACACCGTAGTGGAGGTGTCTGAGCACACGTGCCTACAGCATTTTCGCCTCCATCGAAAATGCAGCCGCCGCAGCCAAGATTCAATCCCGCGACCTGCGGATTCGTGGGTGTGTTCATTCGATTTGCTTGTGTCCTCGCCACGTGTTTTCATATTAAACAGACCGCGACAGATGAACTTCCACTGACGTCACAAGTAGGATGGTCACGTGACTTGCGCAGATATATAAAGTGTACATAAAACGTGTACATATCTACAGGTTATATCATATATAACGCGTAGATATATAACCAATATTTCGAATGAAAGGAATTTTTCTGTCAGGCGTCGCATTAGTATACCTCTATCTTGCAGGGATCAGTGGCGGCTGGTGCCTGGGTCAGTGGTTGGCTTGTATAAGAGGGGCGGAGGGAGAGTTGGAGGTATGTACTCTACGCAGTGCCACTTCGCGGTCGTCACTATCTTGCCCGCTTCATTGTACGGCCAGAAACAGAGTCAACAACGACCTATATACCGCTCTACGAATGACGTCCCACGTTACGCTCTTGTTCGGACCACGTTACTCGAGCAAGTGAGTGCGACCGGAAGTTTCGATACTGCGCTCGTCAAGAAACGGGAACACACACTTCCATTTATTTGTGGGACAAAGTTAATTCGTGATTACATTCCAACAAGTCCGCACTGTGAAAATGGTATCAGCGCCAAGTTGCTGAAACGACGACTGTTTACCGAGTGTGCTGTGAGTGACGCCCCTGGGGGACTAGGTCCGAGAAGGATTCGGATCTCTTCAGAGGTGCCTAGGACTACAATTTGTTGGCCTGAAAGTTACATGAAAATTTTTGGGGGACCCTTAATCTTCGCCTATAAGAGTTGAACACGAAAGTGATATTCTACGTACTTCAAACACTTTGTGTATGAAGTCTTTTCTAACTTGCTATGCACCCACTACATGACCTTAAGGGTACCGTAGCGTGTGCGTGCCTTTTATAGGGGGTGACTATCTTTAAACTATCAAGCCATTATCATAATACCATGTGTCGGACGCACGATGACAATGTGCGCTTGTACTATGCATTATTACGGCAATAACTCATGCTGTATTGTGAAGCATTTATACAGGACGTGTGGGCTTGTAAAACATGAAAGTTACTTTCACTCCACTTCCAATTAGAGGAAGTTACTTTCACTGTATTCACAAGCAGAGCAGTTGCTGTGTCGTACACACTCGCTCGCCACGCGAACGACCCAGGTTCGAATTCCACACAGACCTAGAATTTTTATTATTTATTTTACTTGATAAGACAGGTGCTTGGGCTAGTTGGTGATTAGGAATCAACATATTTGCACAGCGCAAGATTACGAGTACTTGTGACGTAGCTACAGGAGAAGAGACAAGGACACTAAAAGTCAGCGCTCTTTCTGTTCTTGTCTCTTCTTCTTTAGTTACGTCATAACTACTCGTAGTCTTGCGCTGTGCAAATATGTTGATTTTATTTGCACCTTTCTCGATTTTTCAGTTACGTAAACATCATGACTTTTCACTCACAACCAACGAAGTCAACGCCTGAGTTTCTACGGAACGAGACCTTCAAGGCTATCGTGATACAATTTAGTTAGAATTCCATGAACGCGTATTGGGAACTTGCTACAATTATTCTTCAATCTTTAACAAACAAGCTATCGAATGGTTCATAGAAAGGTGTGCCGCATCACGCATATCATGTACTATTACTCTACCATCACTGCAGCAGTGCCTATGATAAAAAAAGAAAAAGAAAGAAAAACATTATCGCAAGATCAACAATTCAGTAATTCAGTGCTGATCATTTTGACCTTTCGGAATTTCATGCAGCACTTTCAAGCGTGACTCTCAATCCAAATTTATCACATTGGCTTGTAGGTACCTTGGGAGATTGTGTTTATGTTGAACACAGCAGTGACGAGAAGGAAGTTAGAGATTTGTTATGAACCGCTTCCTTTCAAAACGTGAATTATTTAAAAGAGCAAGGCACCGTCCCCTTCATGGCCTATCCCCCTAGGTGGGTTGCGCCAAGTTGTTGAGGAACCAACCAACCTTTTTAAAAAAAATTATTTGGGCAGACTATGCCAGTGAAGGAGCCGTAAGTCTTTGTCTTTTTACTCGACCCATCTTTCGTGCGACTCCCTATGCTGGTATTGTGAAAAATAACACAACAAAAATGTGTTCCCATGCACTTTCATGAAAGTTGCATGAACATGCTCTTCAGAAATGTACCACTCGAACAGGCGAAACCTGGCGTCGCGGCACGTTCTCACCGGCACCGATTGCCCAACGCGTCCAGCCGTCGCTCTGAAACGTAGCCCGGTATGTATAACGGAAAGCGAGCGCGGCGCAATCTGCGAGGGCATCGCGCCGTTTCTCTCTCCTTTTCGGCCAACGGTCAGTTCCTGGGCGTGGCTGGCGAGAAAACCCAAGAGCAGCGCGCGGCCTTGTCGGCGATATATGCGCGTGGCGCCGTTCCCCTTTTCGTTTTGTTCTTGATGAACGGCGGCCGCCTTGGCTGGCGACGGGCAGCACACGTCGGCCGCGATCACGGACGTCGACAACGAGGCGTTGCTACGCCTGTTCTGGCACGCACGGGGTTGCTGCCAACCACTGCGAGGCCCCTGTGTGGCGAGACTGTTTCTTCGCTCTCTTTAGATAACTGGCTTGCCGCACATTGAGCCTCGAGGCAACCCCAGACGGAGCTCGAGAATAATCGTACGACCACACACATGCCACCGTTAATTTATGTCCCTCGGCGTCCGTCCTCCTCCCCGTTTTCCACTTGAAACACGAATTTAATTCGACGGCCTTAGCTGGACTTGTGGGGCTCATGCAAGTCCATGTTGACCATGTACACCTTATTATTACTCAAGGCGGTAAAATTAGATCCTCTATTCTACTTTATGGTATGTATTCGTTATACAAGGTCAACCAATTTTTTTGAATGCACGCAACAATAACTTTGCGTAATATGTACTAGACTTCAGCTACTGATGATGTTGATATGTGGGGTTTAACGTCCCAAAACCACACTATGAACTTCAGCTACTGAGGGGTCTTGTATGGTAATCAGATATTTGCCTTATATGGGACAGTCCTTGTACAATAAGATACACCGGCATACGTGGCACTGTGTGACAATTTATATGTGGTCTCTTAGGCTGCGGAATAATTTGTGCGGCTCAAATGTTTTCTGCGTGTTTTCGCAAAAGACCTGCCTCGAGGCATGCGTGATCTGTGGTATTGCGTAATTAATACACAATGCATGACTGTTATCGGGTCCCTGAATAATAGCCCTCTTTCAAAGTACCGGTCATTCAGCGCAGGTTACGTGGATATCTTTGGTTATGGAGCACGAGGGCAGAGGAGTTCCGCACACAAATAAGCCAACGTTCGTACTGGTGTGCTATGCAGATAAATATTAAGAAGGAAGTATAAGATGCATCCTCAAACGTAAAAATCAAGTCCACGTCGTCAACATCAACACGAGTGATGAAAAGTATCCTCGTACTTTGACGTCACAGATCACCAATATCTGTGACGTTACTTTTACGTCATCATGTCACATCTTCGCTTGGTCAAGGTGGGGTGATCGTGGAGGCTGTGCTAAACTAAGCAAAGTGCAGAAAACTTCCATCGTCTCCAGCCCTCGTTTTTGTTGTGGGGAACATTAACTAATCTATCACTTACATAGATGTTGTTCGGGAAACCATCCCCTAGGGGGTCAAGTCAGCTTTCTTGCCATTCCAGGTGGAGACTCTATTCAGAGATTCCGTTTGTGTTGGCTTCTGTCCTTATATGTCGGGCCATGGTTCGTTGGACGGGAAAGTCTTGGCAGCCGAGCAGGGCCACCTGCCAGTCTTATAGAGTTAAGTTGGGGTTGAGAAGGATTGAGCTGGCATGTTCATAACGTGTGCTGAGTGTCAGTCACTTCCTCGCAGTACTGGTACAGGCCGGAAAAAGAAGAGCGAAAATGCTTAAACAGTGCCGGGCACTGTGCTACCCCTAACTATAGCTCTAGAGGATCACGAAAACAGGGGTGATGAAAAGGACGCACAAGGTGTTTTGCCTGAATAACCAATCCCTCTGAGCGGGTATGAGGCAATTACCATCGTCATCATTTCATTGTCCCTGTCTTGATGTTCCTACCACTGCCCATATGTCACTGTCCCAAGTAGCTCGTACTCAGCCTCTAGTTAAACACAACGGTTATGCTCCTTGCCTCACTGCCCTCTTTGAAGCAATTGGCTTGCCGTGAGTGCAGCTCTCTAATCCTTTCCCCTTCAACCCCGTTGAAAATATATGCGCATCCCTTATCTACACCGTAATAAGCTATGTTTTCTCGCTTATTCTCTCTCTCTCTTTCTCTCTATGGAACATAACCTTTATCGACACCAGATGGCGACACTCTACAGGCATCAGGTACACTTGGTCCCTCCTCTTCCATTCTCTCTCCCGATTGTATGAATGCTTCTTTCTTTCTCCTCCATTCGCTCTTGTTTCGCAAGATTCGAAGAGACGGAGCAGCCATGGAGCCGAGCTCGTGCGAAGGCCATCGCAGGCGGCAATCGCTGCTCCCCAATCCCCGCGCATTCGAGGTGGAGCGAAAGACCAAGGCGCTGCTCCGTTCTCCGCGCGAGCGATTAATCCGCCCTCCAGCTGGGTACGGTGCGCGCGACCCCGGAAAACCTTCGCTCTGATAAATGTATGCATTAAGATAATCCTCCTCCCAATCCTTCCTCGCATGCGTCGTCGAGAACCCTGCAGTTACGGCCGCCATAAACAAGGGCAGCGCACAAAACAAGCGTGTGTTTGGGGTGACTTACGAACTCTAGTAGTGTTAGCGATGTCTGTGGTATTACGTACCGAAACCAGTGTTACGATGGCAGACGCTGTAGTGGAGGTCTCCGGAAATTTCGACCGTCTGTTGCTTTTTTTAGCGTGCACTGATATCCCGCAGTACGTGGGCCTCTCGCATTTCACCTCCATTAATATGCGATCGCTGAGTCCGGAATCGAACCGGCGACCTTCGTTGCAGCAGCCGAGTACTATAAACCCGACTACGCTGCGGTGGATTATATACTTCAGTATTACAGAAGGCTGGGCCAACTAATCTTGTAGTTTAACAATCTTGACTTCGATAAATGGAGATTTTTCACTGCCATCATTAAAGTTTTGTGATGAGAATAGATCAGCAAAAAGAAAAGATGAAAAAAAAACGTCTTCGTATTTATTTTTTTGTGGTCAGTGTCATGTTATTTTTTCAATGTTAGTTCCCGACCAGACGATCTTCCGTCAAAATGGATCGATGGAAAATTTTTGTTATGGTCCCTCGCAACACGCAGCGCTTAATTAGCGCACCCCTCCCACCTACCAACAGAAAGACCCGGTCTTTGGACGTTGTTATTAAATGCGTGTCGAAATTTTTCTTTGCGGACATTAGGATGGTGTCATTTGATTTGCTTATTGTTTTACACATCTGTGTTTGGGCCTTGTATACTTCTTACTACTGTTGGTACGTTTGTTTATTATTTCGATTTGTTTCATTCAAGAACTAACCAGCAGCTGGCCCTTTCTCTTTCTCCCATCATCATCATCACCATCGTCATCATCATCGTCGTCGTCGTCATCAAGCCGATGCAATTGTATTGTGTGCACGAAAACTTACAACACTTAAAAAAGACCCATGTGTTAGACATGAAAAAGGCCTCCTTTCAAATGGCGAAGCACGTTAGGTGAAGTTTCCTTCGAACTGCACCACACTCAACCAGCTCTATAGGGTGATGTAGCTCTCCCGGCCTTTGCTGATGTGAGCTTCAATTTCGTGACTGTGCCCCACCAGCTGGGGCGAGTATACATACTCATGGTATACAGCTTATGGTTTTAAGCTAGGCACAAACTAAGTTTTTACGGCAGTATCGTATGCTGCAAAATTTTGTTGCTTGGTTTACATGACAGCCGAAAAAATAATGCAGTGAAATCAGGACTCTGTAGCCGAGGCGGAAACGACTAAAAAATTAGACGACGCTAACGCTGTCGATGGCACAAATATGGCGATTACATCTTGGGGACGTGTACGACTAAAAGTCACTGAGTGTTAATGAGACACGGTGTAGTGGACAGCTTCAGAAGATTTCACCACCTGACGTTACCCTAAGTGCACGAGCTTTTCGGCTCTATCTAAACGAAGTCGCCGCGTCCATTATTCAATCCCGTGACTTGAGTCGGCAGTATAGCAAAGGTGTTACAGATTGATTTGCGTGCAGCTTCAATAATACGACAATGTGTAGCAAGTGCAGCGAAAGAACTTGTTGTTGGGTTAGTTGGTAGAGCATTTCGAAAAGTTACTTCGAGCGCGAAAACTTGACACGATCACTCACACACGCACACACCCATGCATCAAACACACACAGCGCCCACTTTCAACTGATTTATTCATAGCTCGAAGGCCTGAATATATACAGGACACATTGTGCGCACACACACCATAGAAGGCCAACAGCATACATTATCAAACGTACAGCTAATCAATATCATAGCCTCAGAGCGATAAACTGAAGTTCGCCTGGTAACAAGGAAATTGAAGGGGCGCTTACGCAGTGATCTTTATTTTTTCAATGAAAAAGGCCTCTAACACTTGCGCTTCTGGCCAGAATCTTCGTCTCAGAAAATCGTGCGTCACAACCACACGAGATGACATGCACAACCAGGTGCGCATACTTGTCATCTCTTTTTGTTAATTTTTGGGCTTGTTCCCTTAATCGGTCATTAATACGCCGTTAGGTTTGGCCAATGTTCACTTTTCCGCAGGATAAGGGTATGTAGTACAGTTGGAAGTGGGCGCTGTGTGTGTTTGACGCATGGGTGTGTGCGTGTGTGAGTGATCGTGTCAAGTTTTCGTGCTCGAATTAACTTTTCGAAGTGCAGTGAATGCTCCGATCGAAAGAACGGGTTACTTTTACAACAAGCGTGTCCGAAATCTCTCTTGTCAGTGGTGTATAGAACCCTTCAGTATTGAAACCAGAGTTATTTGTTCTTGTTTTTTTATTTTAATGGTCCAACAGCTTGCCGAAGTGGCTGTGTTCCCTGACCTCGGTCATGTTGCTGATGTGTGCTCCGTTTTTCTCGGGGCTCAAGGACTGGATGCAATCCAAACCACTGGGCTGTTTGGATCGTATCTGGTCTGGTGCCAAGAACTTTAACGCGACCCGTTGTGCAAGTGAGTTTCGTGGTGCGACTTTTCTTACTAAACCAAGGTTTCTGGGAGTGGATCAATGATGAGATCAAGCACTGAGCAGATATAAAGTCGGAGTCTCTTTTGGGACTCTGGGACTAAGACGCTTCGAAAGAAAAAACTGCCTCCTAATTTTTCTTCTCAATCGATTTTATTGACCGACTGAGTCGATAGTATGGGTGTATTCATTTACAAGTTAATTGGATTCGTGAGCAAGTGCTATGCACCTGTGAGATGCGGTGTACGAGAAAACCGTCAGTCGTCTTAAGTTATCACGATTACATGAATTCAGCCAGTGGACAGAAGCCGGCACTGGCTGAGAGGCACCCCCTTTCAAGTTACCCCCTTTCATAAGATCGTCTAAAGCGCACGCGCATGTGTTTTTTTTTTCTTTGGCGGTAGGTGCCATGTAGCATCAGCAAGCAAACTTATGAGACATTAGGGCAACGTTTGCTTTATGACTGCACGAGAATAATTTTAGAGCGAAAGCTAATATGAGGATAAAACTCAAGTCACGCGCTGCGCCGTAGTTGCCGCCGTACTTGGTACGAAAGACACAGTGGGGCTCGAGCCCGGAACCACTGCGTGGCGGCCATGTATTCTACCACTAAGCCCCGCCAGCGCTTGGGGCTTGTTCGCAAACTTGCCTTAGGCAGGCTTGATGTCGGGAAAGGAATCGCGTTAATACGAGTAATAGAGCGTTTTAGAACATCAAAAGAGCAACCAGGCATCACACGATGCGAATAGCTTGACGAGTGGGCCGTCCAGTGCTTCAACCCATTACAAAAGCTTGTTCTTAATCACCTATTAACGGTGGCGCATACCCACTTGAGGCATGATGCTTCCTCGTCGTCAGCCACTGCACGAACGACTGGCACAAAATTACTTGCAAGTGTTTAGCGGATACAACACTTCTGAGAAGAATGACGAAGGATAGCATAAAGCGAATACCGGCTTACTGCCCAGAAACTATTAATATAATTAATGCCGTAGTCGGTACCCAGCAAGTGTGCTTGCAGCAGTTACCCGATGAGTGTTTAGAAAAGGCTCTGAAAGGCCGCTCTTCTAGCTTTCGCTTTGACTGTGCTGCGCCTTCCGCGCAGGCCTGGCGTTTTTTTTTTTTTCTTCGTGAATGCAAGCAAACTCTGCAGGATCCCCAAGGTGGCGAAAAGGATAAGTTAAATGTATTTGTTGGTGTTCACTGTCCCAAAACCACCAATTGATTAAGAAACGCAGTAATAGAGGGCTCCGGAGGTTTGCACCACCTGTGGTTCGTTAACATGCACCTAAACCTAAGTGCACTGGCTTCAAGCATTTTCGCCTTCATCGAAAATGTGGTAGCCGCGGCCGGTATTGGATCCCGAGATCTGCGGGTCAGCAATGGAGCACCATAACCATTATGCCACCATGACGAGTGAAGGGATAAGAGATAAACAAACAACAACCTGTTTGTGGCACGAAACCACGTGGAAATCAGTTTCCTAGAGATTCCTTTTAGGCCAGGGATCGAACCCAGCACCAACGACTTTCCGAGGTGGTCGCTCTACAGCAATTGATCTACGAGTAAGCAAATGGCAAGGTCGACGGAAACGCTTTGAGGGAAAAGACCCGGAAAAGCTTTGGTCACGTACTCAGTCACGTGACCATGATGAGTTTTTCGACAACTAATAAGCTTTCTTTTTACCAAAGGATTTCCTCGTGGCTTCGTACTGCAAAATGTTGGTTGTCGATTTTTTTCTCAATTTTTTTTCTGTACTGCTTCATTTTCATGTCGACTTGTACTCAATTGCACATATATACCGTCACGATCCAAATGTTAGACTTTTAAAAGAGCTCTGATATTCTCGGTAAACACTGAAAAAATGCGTAAACAATTTGGTCGATCACCATACTTGAATGATGGATGTTTGGTCTGACATTGGTCAGTACAAGGTCACCTCTTCGCCACAGAGCGCCCGGAGCTCACACTGCGGTGGAAGCCACAAGTTCCGAGAGTTCCATGACGAAGCACAGTTGTCTATTTTATTCGGTTTGTGCACCTGACTGAAGCATTGTGAGAAAGTCTCTTGCCCTTCAATGTTAGAACTGCCTTGTAGGCTGCTTGGGGTAAGGCATATCAACGAGCAATTTCGCGGAGCACAGAATAGATCGGCTGTTAGCAGTCGAAGTGACATTCCCGGGAATTCTTGTTCTGGTTGTATCGATTGTGCGGCGCACTCCGCCATGGTACCCACACTCCGCCGAACAGTCCTGGGTCTGCATCGGAGTCTCCCAACTTCTCGTTCTCCCAGGGAACGTAGCTGTCACCGTATATTATCGTCTGCTTCATCTTCATCAAGATCTGAGGAAAAGTAGCAGTGGTCAGAAGGTGACCTTGTGGTTGCATAGGTTCTAATAGCACCGCTGTTTAGCAGGCATGGCGATATGTTTTCGAGATAAGTGGACGATCGAGCTTCCTCTGAAATTACATGTAGCACGCAATAAAGCTATGACGACTATTAAGCAGGGTTTCCAGTTGAAGACTGTAAAAAGTAGCCGAAAAGTAGTAGCCCTGCAGCTTTCTTCAGCAGGCAAAACAAAACCAACAAAGAAGCCACATTTTGGAATGATTTGTATTTGTTTGTTGTTTTTTGTTATTTTTTTCCTATAAGAACGTTATCATAACGAGAGCTGTTTTATAGTAAATTTAGGAAGATAGAGAAACCTTATGGAAACGTACATATGATGTGTACATGGACGAAAGTAAACACTGTGCTTTCAATATCAAGTAATACGACGAAACTCTCGGTAGACACGCGTGTTGAATTAGCATCACCGCTGCTTTTGAGGAACAAATATCCGGGCTCATAGGTTTCAATCATTTCTGGAGAGATATCAAGGTTGAAGCTGTTAAGGTTTTTTTTTAATTGGTTACCATTGCCCAGTAAAAAAAAATGTGTGCATGCTTACAGTGGGATGCTTGTCGACGATGTTGTCCTTCTCGCAAGGGTCCTTGGCCAAGTCAAAAATGCACGGCCCTCGTCCCACGTGACAGTCAATAGGTTTCGCGATGTGTGTGCAGTTCAGCAACGAGCCTCGTCGTGTGGGGTCTGTCAATTTGAAGCCGTTGCCATGGAAACGCTGAAGGGCCTGCGTATGAGAATTTCAGCCTTACGCGGAGCACTTTAAGGGACGCTGTTTATTTCCTTGTAGCAAAAATAACGGTAGTGGGTACATATACAGTAGTTAGAACAAAACATAGCCTCGCTATGTGAAGCCCTGACATAATCAACAGTGAGAAGTTAAGGATAAGGACACCTGCCATTGAGAAACAACAGGGACGACTACATTCGTGACCGGCCATGGCCTCCTGGTCCTGGTATAGCTAGCTGCGCCATCATCAACTGAGGCTTGTATTCGCGCACATTGTGTGGGCTTGACCGCACAAGAACATGGCGCCTGTAAGCTTGGCGCAATGCTGCCCTCCAGGTCGCACTTGTCGCATGCGTGTTTGTGAAAATCACATTGCAATAAATGATGCTGTCTTTGTCGTGAGCTTGTCGGCTATCAGCCGTTTCTGATATTGCAATCCGTTCATTTGCCGAGGTCACTCACCATTTCACGTTGTCGGGTTTTCGTTCTTGCCTGGATATGAACGAGTGGCCGTCGTTGCTTCTAGTAGTAACTGAAAATGTTGCGCTGGTAAGGACGTGAATAGTAACAACAATAGAAATCCCCGCCCAAGCAGTCCGTACAAATGAGTAATCAGCTAGAGCTGGCGCGCCCGGCCCCGGTGTTTAGCAGTGAGTTCAACCCGACGTGGCACTAAAGCCTTTCACTATTAGTGGTTACATGTTTGTGCTTCTTAATGAAGTTAGACACACGTTGGGCTTGGGTTTGCTACAGTGTTTATTTCACATGCCGCACATATATAGTACCTCGCATGATCGTGCTCATGGAAGAGTGTAATGAGCGGCTAAGTGCGTGTACCAATGCGTTATTCACAGTTGTCTTTCCCGAACCACAGGTGGTCAAAGACGTCACAGTATAGTGCGAGAAACTCCCGCCGAAACCGACCGTTCGCCCCGGTCACACGCGCTCCCGCAATCGTCACGTTGACGCCGCCATGCCACTTGTTCGGCGTACGAGTGAGTGAGAACAACTTTATTATGGTCCAGTGCAGACGCTGAGGTTGCCACGCGTCACCCGGCTACTCCCACGTGGGGACGGGCAGGTCTAGCCTGACGGCCCTGTCCCGGGAACACTGGACGGCCAGGATTTGGTCCTGACGTTCTGGGCTGTATATAGGCACTGCGCCATGTCGCCTATATAGGCGGAAAGAAATTAGGGGCCTTGTTTTCTCTTCTTGAAGAAGCACGTATTCATTGTTCGGAATTGCGATGTTTCAGGCGTTTCACACTGCGAGCCAGCTCGGCGGCGTGGTTTGCCGGATCCCCCCCCCCCCCCCGCCACTGGCGCTTGCATCTCCGTTCGTGATTTAGCGTGACTTGGAAGGCTTCCGGATCATCGATACGCAGTTTGCCGCCGGCACCCGGCTTCCCGGGCCTGTTTTTGTGCCAGGACTGTACCATCGGCCCGGTGAATGCAAGCTCCACTGTCGGAGCTCTTCTCTTCTGGAGTTGTCTGTGGCATACCCATGTGGAAGCTCGCAGGAGAAATTGATGGACGCGTGCTCGGCGACACGACTGCGGCGGCATGGACGACGTACGTCGCTCACAACGCAGCCAATGGCGCGCGTGCTTAGTTACGACGCTGCCAAAGACGTAACTGATAGGGCAGCCAATAGAGACCGCTCGTGACGCCATTGCCGGACAGTTTTTCGTTTCTCCTAACCATACGCAGCTTTCGCTTGTAAAAATAAATACCCCACGGGGTTTAACGCCCCCAAAACACGATGTTATTATGAGGGAAGCCGTAGTGAATGGCTCCGGAAATTTCGATCATCTGGTGTTTTTTAACGTGTGCAACCATCGCACAGTAAGCGGGCCTCCATCATTTTGGCTCCATCGAAATGCGACCGCCATGGTCAGGATCGAACACGCGACTTTCAGGCCAACAGCCGTGTACCGTAACCGCTGCACCACAGTGGCAGACGAAGCACTTGGATAGGAGTGCAATTCCCAGAATGGAGGACAGAAACACGTTGGAGGGACCATTCAGAAGAAAGAAAGAAAAGAAAGAAAAAAAAGAAAGAAAGATGGATGGACGGACGGACAGATAGACAGACGGACGGACGGATGGACGGACGGTCGGACAGACAGACGGACGGACGGACAGACAGACGGACAGACAGACGGACAGACGGACAGACAGACAGACAGACAGACAGACAGACAGACAGACAGACAGACAGACAGACAGACAGACAGACAGACAGACAGACAGACAGACAGACAGACAGACAGACAGACAGAGTAGCGCTTCGGGTTCGCTAACGCCGAGCTTCTCTGGGTCCCAAATTTTCCCACAAGACGAGCACCCCCGAAAAATTTTCGTCGCTTCCCATATCGTGAAGCTCTTACCTTGTACGCCTGGCAGGACGAGACAAGTTTCTCGAAATCAGTCGACGGCTTCAGCTCGAGTCCCACAGGTGGGAACCAATTAGACTTCTTCTCCAAGCTAATGCTGCTGTGCTTGGCGACGAAGCCCTTGTAGCGGCCGAGGAGGATCACGAAATTTTGACCCGCCAGATCAAACCTGTGCACGATGGACTTCCTAGGCGAGGCGAGGTTCTTGCTGATTGTCGGCCATTGGTTGTACGAGTCGAAGTCGGCCACCTCTCCTAAGATCTTAGCATCTCCGCCTGCGCGAGACGGAGTTCGAAGTTTATTTGCCATTTCGGCAATACCTCTGTTGTCATGAGACATAAATTATCATGAAAACGGAACAAAAAGGCATCTATACACGCAAGGATAGGCTGATAACAACACGGCTAGAGCAAACAACAACGGACAACAACACAAGAAGAACACAAAGACATATATACATGCACATGCGTACATAAAGGGCGCAGTTACACACACACTAGTTGCATAGAGCATAATAAAGAGTAATAATCCAAATAAGTACCACCAAATGAAGATGTTTTATAGATACGTGGTTTTGGAAACACCTAGAGCCAGATATTTTTGGTATTGCAGCAAGCAAATAAATAGAGAAAAAAATAAAAAATTAGGCCAACCAGTAATTCAGTCATGCAATCAAGAATAAAGTCAATCCTACCAATCAATCATTAATCAGTTGTACGAATCAATCAAAAAATAATCAATAAGTGAATGAATGAATCAATAAATCAATGAAAGTAAATCCCTCGACCAATCTTTCATTCACGCAATCGATCAATCATACATATTATCGATCAGGTAAGAAATAGATCGATATCACACTTTAACAAATTGCTTGATTGGGCTGGCTGGTGCTGCATGGTAGAAGAAGAAAGTGCTTAACAGCGCAAACGACAGGAAGGGATAGAAGAGATGAGAACAGAGCGCTGAACTCAGAGCTCTGTTATCGTCTTTTCTATCGCCTCCTGTCGTTTGCGCTGTTAAGCACTTTTTCGTCTAACAATTTCACACTTAATCGGTCAGTCATTGCACCAATTAATCGATCAAAATTAACAGAGTCCGTCATATATATCATCAGCGTCGCACTGCTGATGCTGATCAAACTTCGTGATCCGACTTGAAATGGTAAGCCTAAATGAATAAGGTGGTGAAGCGCAACCGCCGAACATTGGCTAACTTTTGTTTCGTGAGAAAACAACTCCAAGACACGCGAACACACACGAAGTCAGAAGTATGAATATTAGACAAATCCCTGTACTACCCATCGTTCCTATGCCCGCTGAAGCGCCGTGCGTTGCACCTCCCATAGACACGAGCGCCGGAGTTCCCTCTAGCGTATATTTAGGAAACTCTATGGATGACGCTTTTCACGCAAGCCATATCCCCCTAAAGAGCGCATGCGTATATATCTTATACTATGGCCATATTGCAGACGGTGAAAATCCAGATGTCAGTTACTGGCCATTCGAAGACGGCACATGTGATGACATCGCTCGTAGTTCTTTTGATATAATCAGATCGTTCAACATTGATTCCGGCGCCACGCGATGACGCAGCTAAAATAAACAAGCCGCCGGTGACCGGTTCTTTAGAGACAAGTTCAGCTTGCGCCGGACAGCAACCAGTGACGTGCGCTTCGAGTGGTCTGATGAAAAAGACAAGAAGCGCCCGGCAACCGAGCGCTTTTACAGCGCTTCGGCTCCTGTTCGCCAGGATGAGTTGCGCTTTTGTTCACGCTAACTCGACTGACGGCACTCGCTTCGACGTTTTCACCATGCCACTGCCAAGATCATCAAGCGCAACAAGCATTCCCACCACCCCCCGATTACGCACCGGCAAGGTGAACGATTGTGGGCACCCAGTCGGTGACGTGCATCAGCTGGGTGGACACTCGCGGAGACCTGTCCGCCATCAGCGGGCTCCAGACGAATGCGGGCACCCGGACGCCGCCTTCGAAGTACGTGCCCCGGCTTCCGCGCAGGGGCCAGTTGAAGGACCAGTTGCTGCCGTCGTCGTCCCCGTCCGGAAGGCCTCCACTGGACGACACGAAGACGAGCACCGTGTCGTTGAGCATGGTCCGATTCTGGAGCGCCGCGAACACCTGGCCCACGGAGGTGTCCACTTCGGCCAGGGCCCCTTCGTCACCACGAAACCCGCACATGCACAGAGGTATTTATTACATGAGGCAGTGCTATTTCTATACTTAGGAAGTTAAGACTGCAAAGTTGGCCCTCTATTTCTTTCCGGCGCAGGATTTCCGGTAATATTTTTTTGCAAGAATAAGGCACGCAGCTTTGAACGACTATTGGCCATTGAAGGCGTGTAAATTCCACTTTTACTCCGGAAGGCTATTTCGAAAAGAACTTCATTTAAATTTTTCTCTCCATTGAGAAGTATGTTGTCTTATGAACCCCGTGCATGCCTATGTGCGCGGGAATTCCGACTCTGCTTGGTGCGACGAGGCTATAAAAATGCATCGGAACCTCCTGAGTTTTGCTTTGTAAGAGGTGAGACTATTAACGAACGCAATCATTCATGATATAAACTAAAATCCCCCCTACCCCAGGACTGCGTTTTTTTTTTTTTTTTGCCTTCGTGGCTGCTATGCAAAGAACGTAGCTTGTTTCGTGGGATATCAGAAAACGCAGCTTCGGAGTGGGAAAATGGGCACATATAGCAAGCACAGAACTTTTTCTATAGGTGCAGTTCTTCTGTTTTTTACTATTCGGTACACAGTATTTGGCCATTCCTTTCCTAAATATATCAACTATGCGGCTTACCTTCAGCGTGATCGTCAGCGCACGCGTGAGCACGCTAAATCATTTAGCAGCCCGGAAGCGAGATTTCTTAAAATATATTTAATGAATCAGCTATCGCTATTCTGTAGGTAGCTTTCACGACGTTTTTAAAACATGCACACGAACACATTTAGCCGACCGTGAGGACCACAACCGTTACAAATAGTAGTAATAAAACACATCACTCGCTTAAAGATTCAAGCGCATATTGTAATTTCAGGAACCAATCCGACGCGGTAGACGCATCACAGCCTCTGCGTGTGTTCGTACAAGCATGGTATTGCGATCACACATGAAGAAACGGCTGCGAAAAAAAAAGTGGTGAAAAAGCGCATGGCCTCTGAGATTGCCCGCTAGTGGCGTGGCAGTCACGGAGGCTTGCGCAAATGTCGTGGAAATGGAGAACTCGTGCGGAAAAAGGATGGAAGATGGCGCGCAGCCACAAGTGCTTTTCATATTTCCCGTTAATAGAGAGCCCAACGACTCCTCAAGGAAGATGCCTGCGACTTGAGCCTTAAAGCTGGTCAACGCCTCCTAGATTTCCTGTGCCTGCCAGATTATCGGCAGTCACTTGGGAAGTGGCGATCGTCGGAACTACGGTGGTGGCGCCACTAAAGTAGGGGTGTCTTCAAATGCATATTTACGTTTTTGAAGCCTATATTCAACAAAAATAACGTTAAAAAGCATTAAAAAGGCGTAAACGTAATTATAATTAACCATACGTAAGTGACGCCGTCATTCAGCAAGCAACTTTTTTAATACAAGGCATCCTCTAGAATTAGTAGCAAACGCCAGAATTGCCGATCTCGAAGGCCGAGTACAAAAATTCTTACTCTTACGTAGGCAGCGTCGCCATAGATGACCGGCGTTTCGCGCTCATCCGGCAGGCACAGAAAATCTAGGAGGCGTTAAGCTGGTTCCCGGCACTTTCCCGTTCGCTCCTCCTCCGCTCCCCCAAACATTGTGGGCTGCGAGCGCTCACTGTGGCGGCCGCTTTAAACCATGCTGCCTTTGAGGTTAACCCAATGTCTCTAGCTGTCTCGGAGGCAACACTTCCGAATCAAACAAAAACAATGTTGACTGCGAGCGCTCTTTGCGGAGAAAATACTGAACTACGAGGAGCCTCCCGTCCTCATTGGAAAGCGTGCGATGTCGCAGGCATCTTTTTAGAGGAGGCGTTGGAGAGCCAATCAGTTCAAACCGCAGTGCGCGCAGGCGCAATGACATTCAGGCAGTTGAAAGCGTTGAGGTTCGCTGGATAAAAAGTTCTCGCAGTGAAGAGTGAATGCGTAGTGTTGTAGTTCGTTTATTGCGTATTGAGCTCGTTATTATCGCGTGCGTTTATCGTCGCTAGAAGTCGTCCACGGAACGACAGATATCAAATATTGTTCGACATGGAATCGTTGGCGACTCTACATTGTCGTTCACCCTACGGTTGGGCGCGAAGTTTTGAACAAGATAGCCGGCGCGCGCCTTTTGCCGAAACCGTCTTCGCAGCAGATACAGCGCTCCGGTGAGTTCAAGAACGTTGCCGAATTGCGGCAGGGTGCATGACGGTTTTACGCTTGTAAGATAGCGCGAGCGGCGAGTTGCCAGAACGGAGGTGGTTGGCAAGTGTTTGATACGGAAGCTTGCATTGAGCTGGTCTGTCTTCCTGTCGTGCTGTTCTTCATGCACTTTTTCGGAGCCGGGTTGTCGTGTGCATTGATTAAAACTGAAAACAGCCCGAAGAAAATACAAGCGGCCTGTTGCGACGCTGTGTCTGCATTATGCAAACGTTGTGTTGGTGTACCGTTTTCTTCGACTGTATTCAGTGCGTGATCGTTGCTTGAATGACAATATGGACACTCAGGACTCGCCTTTAACACTTACATGCAGTACAATACATCGCGAGAAACTCGGAACAAGCATGATAACACCATAGTGGTGCCGCTTACAAAAACAAATTCTCGGCGATATTCATTCTTTCCACGAACAATTTCCGACTGGAATGAACTACCTCATGACGTCACCTGCATCGCAGCGCCCGACGCATTTTTATCAGCTGCCACTGCCTGTTCGTAGTAAAAGCTGTCTGGTCGTATGTGCAGATTTCAATTCTTCTAATCATGTTTTTACACTTCGTGTTAGGAACAAAAATTTGGATTGTATTTTCGATACCGCTCTTGTGTTGCTCCTGTAACCCGAGTATTCATGTTCCACGCAAACCTGTTATGTGGTGATTTTATTTCTGCGCCGTGAAGTGTAGTGTTATATGTGGCTGCAAGTATGAAAGTTTGTGTCACTCCTGCCTTGGCCACCAAGAGGTGGCTGGCAGTATGCAATAAATAAATAAAAATAAATTAATGTGTAGTCACCATAAAATCGCAGTGATATGATTCTGAACATAATAGTCGCCCCATACTCTTTTTACGGTGGAAATGCGGCAATAGTTCACGTTCGATCAAAATAGTTATAATGACGTAACGTACGGATAAACTTTATAGATGTAGACGGGTGTGTACGCACAAGACTGTCATCCGCGTGCTCTGTTGCCCTGCAGCATATGTGTTTGCGCTTGAGTCGCCGTTCACAATGGTGTGCTCGTTTTTGCAAGGAATGGACGTGATTGTTCCATTGCGAGGATTTCAGGGGGTCGGCATCAAGTCTCGGCTCGTATCGCTTAGGTTCGTACAGGTGAAATCAAATTAGTCGAGTAGCCGAGAAAAAAAGCATAGCGGACATAATTTTTTTTCTCTTTTACTGTAGTGCAGTAATAATGACCCGAATTACAATGAGTCAGCGAAAAATCACCAGTTCCGTTAATTACACCTGAACATGGGATGCTTTACCGATTGAGCTACGACGAAAACCGTTTTCCCTGTGTTCTTCGTCGAGAATCCGACACGGTGGTCTAGCGTAAGGTTATACGATGCTCGAAGGCGGACCTGCAGGTCGCAGGATCCAATCCCGGTCTCGGAGACTGCAGTGGGCTGGAGGCCAGAATACACGTGAAGGCCGTGTACTTAGATTTAAGTGCACGTTAATTAGTCACAGGTAGTTGAAATTTTGGGAGACTACTAATAGGCTGTCTCTCATAATCATGTGGTGGTTTTGGGACGTTGAACCCCAACAACCAGTTCGTTGTTGATTTATGTATGTATGATCCCCGGGTGTGCTATGTAGCCAGTGCAACTCGTAGTCAAAGCGGTGAGGGCATGAGGAGCACTATTTTTGCCACAGAGCGTCATGTGGCTTATTTTTTCACAAGGCGGCTACTGACTAATGAATAGTCGCATGTGAACTTGAGTCATTAAGCCTGCTGGGATGAGGCCCTCGCTGTTAGTGAACAAAAGAAGGCGACTTTTCGAGGGCCTTTCTTTCTTTATCAGACAAGGAAATAAATGAATCGCAAACATGTCCCTTTTTTTTTAGGGGCGAAGCTCCTTAGGGCGTGGGCTGTGCGTCCCCTGTAGCCTGTATGTAGCCACCTCTAGTTTAGTTCTTGTAGTGTTCACTAGATGGCGGTACCGTCCCCCTTTTTTTTCCGTAAGTTCATTGTGGACCACGCCCTGGCAAACGTAATGCCTAAAGTTGGCATGCGAGTGTTATTAGGTCAGCTGCAACCTGGTGCTAAGACCACGTGCCACGTGATGTCTTCCTTCGAAAATAATGGGAACGTGGAAACTCCTTCTGTTGTAGCTCGTTTGGTAGAGCATCAGACTCGCAGCAAAAAAAGGTTCGGGATTCAGATCCACTGAACGGAAAAAGGCGATTTTTTTTTTTTGTCCACTTCAATCGATTTCACCTTATGCCGTTATTACGATCGAAGCATGGTTGAGAGCTCTGCAGTATACGGTAGCACACGAGCGTGATCACGTGTTTTTTTTTTGTTTTTACATAACGCCGGATTCCTTTCAACACAGAAAAAAGCCCATGCTGCAGTGCATGTACACACGGAATCAGTTTTCTATGGAGCGCGTGGCTTCGAACGCGGTACACATCTTCACACGCTACCTCACGTTAGCTGCAAGCTTCCGTTCGTGCTTTAATTATTGCATAAGGACCTAGCTTGCAGCATGACTGCGTGAGGTATCAGTACGGCGTTGGTATCCGCAAATTGTTGCATAAAGCGGCATCTCCAGCGGCGGGCTGGGCGCTCCACACAGGTGTAATTCCGTCTGCACGTTGCCACGGACAGTTGGATAGGTCGTCTTGGAATGACCTGTACAACGGATCGCACTTTGAAAGTGAACTATGGAATTTCGCATAATTTCCCTCAGTTAATTAACGACCCAATCGGTGCCACGTGGCCGCAAACCATATGTCCTTGGTTTGATTCGGCTGTGGTTGACCACTTTAGGGGCACCAGGCTGACTTGCAATAAGTAAAGCAAAACTTGACAATATAAAAAAAGAGCAGGAAAAAAAAAACGGAGAAAGAGATAGAAGGCGTGTCAGCTCCGAAATTCTTTCAGACCTGGCATCCCTTGTGCGAAGGTTCCTTAAATTTTAAGGAAGATAGCCCTTGGAATACTTCGACGCAGAAATTTTGATGTGTGCGTGTGCTTGTCTGTCTTGCTTCTGTCTGTCACTCCATTCAGCTATCAGAAAGTTCAGCCACTTGCTGAACGACCGTCCATCTTTATCTCCGGGTTGAGTTCATACTAGTGAAGATTGCCAATGAAAATACAAATATTACGCATTTTTTGGCGCAACAACATTACCGGGAGCGTTAGGCAGTGTGTTACTTTATTTCTAAAATGCATAGATACGTAATTCCAAAGACCGCGGTGCTTATTACAAGGCGCCGGCAATGCGATGCTATGACTGAAATAAGAAAAAGAGCGTTTCCTACGTTTCACTGAAACTAGACGGTGCTGCTACCTACCAAGGGCTTTGAGTACTGGAAAAAAGTTTTGTTTTTTCAAATTACGGCTAGATGGTGCCCAAATATCACGCAGCGCCTACTCGCGGATTTGCTCGCGCAGCACCTCAAATGAATGTTTTATTCTTTCTCTGCCAACAGAAAAAAGACTTTCGTCTTTCGACGACATTTGCCCACTAAGCAGCCATATACTCCGCCAATTTTTAAGACTGCAGCTTTCTTAGTCGTCCTATGCTGCTTCGCTGTCATCATCGTCACAGTAGTAGTCGCTCAGGTGATATGATCAGGGAGTGAGTAAAGAAAATAAACCAATATGAAGATGATGATACTTGAACTGATGATGAGGATGTTAAACGACGTTGCTAATGATCAAAAATATTGCTACGTCGTTTTAGTCCACTGCCACGGTACACGTCCGTGCCGACAGTTTCACTCACCGATGACTTCGACAACGTAGAACTGGTTGGTCTTTCTTTCAATTCTTGATTACATATTAGCGTGAAACACCAGGTATTAATGAACGGAGGAAAATGCGTGTAAGGGACAGGAGAGCCTCTGAAATAAACTTTTGCCTGCGGCCCTGCTCTTTGGGTTTTAACGGCCTTGAAGCAAAGTGCCGTCAGGGAGGCGATGCCTTACCGGCCAGCAGGACTCTTTTTCGGTGTGCGATGCTTGCAAAGGATTCGAGGTGTTCCGGAGGACACTGAACAGAGCCGCCTCCGTTGGCCGCCTGGACGCCTTGGTGGGCGATGAGCATGAACAGGGGCTGCAAAAAAGAAGCCCTGTGCCTTGAAGAATGACTGAACTAGGGTACGGGTCCGAGCTTGTTGGTAAACTGACGTAATTGAAACACGCACCATACTAAGGACAACGAAAACGAACTGGTACAGCGCTGTGTATGTTCGTTTTTGTTACCACTTTTAGTATATAAAAAAAATGTGACGCTAAAGGTCCGACGCGGTTCGGATCCCGGCTGTGGCGGCTGCATTTCCCATGGAGGCGGAAATGTTGTAGGCCCGTGTGCTCAGATTTGGGTGCACGTTAAAGAACCCCCGGTGGTCGAAATTTCCGGAGCCCTCCACTACGGCGTCTCTCATAATCATATGGTGGTTTTGGGACGTTAAACCCCACATATCAATCAAAAAAGAAGCTGTACAATGGTAAAGTTGTGCGATGCTAGATAAAAAGAATACTGATAAACATGCGCACGCTCATATTTTATTAGTCGAAACGCGCTATTTTTGGAATCTATATCCCGAAAGCCCGCTGCGGAAGTGAGCTTCTTCGGTCAAACACGCGCACCTTTCAACGCAGTCACTCGTGCAGACCAGGTCAATATGTCCATGGCCTGTAACCACAAAACGACCTTACTTATCCTTATCTCATGTTTACTGAACTTATTAAGTGACTTTTGAAAGGGGGAGGGAAAAATAAGCGCAGTTCCGTCCCTGCCTCTCTCTCAATGGAGGGCACCTTCAGAAATCTGTGCGGGTAATGGGGGTAAGGAGGGAATAAAAAGGATAGGGAGGAAATAAAGGTATAGAGATAGAGAGAGGGGCAAGGGCAGCCAACGGAAGTAAGGAAAAGATAGGAAAGATCGACACGGTCGAAGGAGTCCGAGGACGGGCCACCACTCGGCGAGAGCTCTTGTCGGCGTCAGGAGACGGCGTATAGGGCGAGACAGTCGGCCAGAGCTGCGCTGTCGTCGGAGATCGCGGGGGCACAACCAGTCGGCACGAAACCCAGCGAGCGGGTCACTTTTTTTTTTTTACTGAACTTTACTTAGCCATCTGTACGGTTATTGGGCATTATAAGGACGCGAATGTGGTTACAGGGTGAAATATAGTTACAAGACTGATGTGCTAAAGCTGGCCTATACTCTGTTTATCAACAGCGTTGATGGCAGAACACCGACAAGGTAAACGCGAGATAAGGATGAGGTTCGTTTGCGAATACGGGCTTATTATGCCGCGCATACTCCTGGGAACACGCGTCACAGCACGCAAGGTGTCGCGCCGCAGAGCTAAGCCGCCTGCTCGTGCGCTAAACATCGACCTGGTGGCGGCTGTACATCCGTAAAAAGTAGATGGACCATTGATGTCTGATGGACCATTGATGGACCATTGATGGCGAAAGTAGATGGACCATTGATGTCTGCACACCTTTGCCGTCTGCGCCGTATAGGGGCCAGCCGTCTGCCGTCTAGAGCATTTCTCTGACGAGTTACGTCAAATTTCGTCCGTAGAAATGCTATCGATGGCTGGCCACAGGACGGCGCAGAGGGATCACAGAAATACTCTCGATGGCATACGGCTCGCAGCAAGACGGCGCTTTAACGGCGCAGACGATGATTTCAACACGCGCTCTTGTAAATACGTATATTTTTTTGCACGTGTGTGTACATGTGCTACTTTTTTGTGCCACAAAAACGAATTGGCATTTGTGAGGGTACACACCCAATAAGAAGATGTGCAGAACGTGCGGGGAAGCACCACTATGATTCACGCACGAACGATGAAGTGTTTCGTTTACAGTTTTCCTGCGGAAATGTTTACACGGGCACTTGTAAATATGCCTGAATAATAGTCAACAAGCACAGAGAAGTTGACTGGATATTTGGATGGTCGGGCCAACGTCTGATTTGCATAGTACTGATCTGGAGACGCAATGCTTTCTTAAAAGAGTGCACTGTTGTGCACATAAGTGCTGACAAAAATACGCGAGAAATTGTTCAAGCTAAACTGATAGCGATGGTAAAGTTCCGGATCGAATCCCGGCAGCGGCGGCCATACTTTCGATGGAGACGAAAATCATCGAGGGCCACGTAACTTAGATTTTGGTGTACGCACGTTAAAGCGGCCCAGGTGGGCCGAGGCAGTTGAAATTTTTGTAGTCCTCCACTACCGGCTGTCTCATAATTACGAAGTGGTAATTGGGACGTTGAACCACAATATTTATTACTGATCGCGAGGGCAGCTAATAGCTGTCAGATGCCCTTCAGCTGCGCTGGCTGTAAATTAATTTGCCTTTCTGGGCATCGCAGATCTTTATCGGTGGTGATAGGGCCTTCTGTGTTCGGATAAACTTTTATTGTTGCTTCTGACAGTAAACATTCAGCTAAAGGTTATCACATCATCCAACTGTGTCTTGCTCGTCCATTTATGCTAACGCTATTCCACCGTTTGATATAGTTAACCAAGTGGCCCAAAAAGTTAAGTCGACCAACACCACACCGCCTGTTGTTTGTTACACCGAGAGATAACTACGATAGCTTCGCGAATAAAAGGTGGTGCTCTGGAGCCACCCATATAAATGGAAAAAGCTCACCTTCGTCTTGTCGTGTTGAGCAATAATTTCCGTCGCCCTCTCTGTGAAGACCCGGGTCGCGTACTTGCCCGTCTTGTTCCAGAGCACCTCCCGATTCAGGCGCAGGTCGTAGCCGTGAAAACTTTTGTACCACCGCTGGCGAAACATGAACGAAAAATACGGAAGAAAAAGTCTAATCAAAGCTTTCGTAATGATTTGCAAAGAACAGATTGTTGCGCACAAGCTACACAAGGATTTAGTAGACACGAAGTACACAAGAAACACGGATTGCGCTCGTTCATATCTTTTGTGTCTCTGTGCAGCTTGTGGTCAACCCCTTTTTCTTGCGAAAATGAACCAAATCGTCCAGCAGCAAATTTTTGTTGAACCATCTTTCCCGAGAAATTGCTTTTTTAAGTCTGTGTCCGTCACAAATCAAATGCGTGCGTTCATCACGATGCTGACGGACTTCCAGTCATACACGCATTCACGCTTGTTTGCAATGGTGCTGTATAGTCCTGCTTTACCGCGTTGTCCCCCTTTAGGCTTAAGAAAAGACATGTGGTCTATAAATTATAGATAGTTCCCTTGACTATCAGCTTCACTTATTCTGATGACTTGCACTACCCCGCAAGAAGTAACTTTGCGTATGCAAACCCCCAATCTTGATCACAGCAATGGTTTCTTCTTTGTGCCTCCTTTGATACGTGTATCATTTGGAGCCACTATAGGAGACTCGACACGCTTTGCTGGTATGCGGTCAATCTAAGTGTGTTCAATTCAGCCTTATGATCTGTTCAATTAATGTTTTTTTTTACGAGAACGGTGCAACGAACGCAAAAAGTTGGTGGGTTGAACTGCAAGTATAGGTCTCCTTGATTTGACTGCACTTTCTGCACTAGTTCAAGAGTGCTGCACTTTGTCCTTCGATTTGGCGAGCACAGCTGGCGCCACCAGCACGTATGTCCGCGATGTGACGTCGTGCTTCATCAGCACTTCAGCGCTACCTGTTGTCCATATGTCGTTGGAATGGCCGGCGAGGCACAACTTTACGTGGAAACATCAACTAGCTTTAAGCTGTAGAGTAGCGCGCATGTGTGTGTAACCTAAATACGTATAATAGCCTCACGTCTGATGACACGTGCGTCCAGTAGTCGCCCGGTCCGCTCCACTTTGCGAAGGCCGTGTCGAAGCCGCGATTTTCAGGCGTGAACTCGTCCTTGAAGAAGCCCAGGCTCCACTGTTTTTCCAGAGCATTGTTTACGAAGCACGCACACAAAAAGGACAAAACAGATAGGAGGAATCAATGAAAGATTGATCACAATCTAATCTTTGAATAACGGATACCTGAGATAGTTCACAGCAGGAATTCATATTAACAGGAAGGTCTAGCAAACTCGGCCACAAGGGAGAAGTCAGAACAACAGAAACACCGACTGGCAACTGAGACAACTTAGTCGGTGGTGGCTCTGGCCCTTGCCCTTTGTGTTTGTACTCCTAGAGTCGTTCAGCACGAAAACAATGTAATCGTTAGTTATTTGACTGCCGGGGCGGCTTTACGCTTTTGACCAAGTGTCCTAAATCGTTCAACACTTTTTCCAAACACAGACTTGACCTTCTCTTATGCCGTGTGCTGGACAGCTGATGGCTATCTCATAGTAGAGCTCATATTGTACTCTAAAGCGTTAGTAATTTATTCTGTACGCATACGTACACACACAAGGAACTGGGAAGCGTTTTGTAGCTCAATGTGTTAGGTATCAGGACAACCTATAGCTCTTCCTTTGTAGAGTGCGTCGTATAGTACTCGGAAGCGCTCACAATTTATTTTGAACACATGGAAGCTTCCGTTTAGGTGACGAACATTACCTCTATAGCTTGGACCGCATTCTGATCGGGGCGCATGTCAAACCTCGAGACGAAGAGGTCAGCAGACAACGAAATGTTGGTTATAACTAAATAAGTGATGAATATTCATGTCATTGATATGCTAAAGATTGCATACGCTTACATCAATCTTTCTGATATTGCGAAGTCTTCACGTTACGTACAACGCCATATAACAAGTGCCAAAATGGTACTGTTTAGGCACTTTGTGGGTATCCCTGTAAAATATAACTGATGACACATATCGGCTGCGCTACAATCTCGCTTGAACACGTATCTGACCCGTCTGTACTGTAGTCCATTTAATAAGACAACGCCGGGTTTATATAAATTACGTACACGCGTGAATCGTGAAGCAACAAAATTTCATTGTTTTCGACTGCACATGTCTGTCCCATGTAGGCTTCATGCTCGCTTAATATATGAGCAGTTGTCAGCACCGCTTTCTGTTCTCTCTTTCTATGTCCCGTGAGCTTTTGTGGATACTTTTCCCTATGATGGATCACGAACTGACCTATAGGGTTCAGTCCTCGAAACCACTAGAGACTTCCGAATCGTAAGTTTGCACAGAAATGGGACCACACGACAACATCGAGGAAGATGTCATACATTCCACTAAACGCGACCCAAGAACGTGAACTCACGACTCCGACGAAGTGCGTGGCGTAACCCAGTTTCTTCAGGAACATTGGGAGAGTGGAGAACAGTGTGGGTAGCGCCGTTGGTTGAGAAGGATGTATCGTTTTCGTTATGCCTGCGGTGAAAACGAAAAAAAATTGCGTCACCGATAGGGCGTATAGAACTGAATTCGACAGCTTAAGATTGGAATATTATGCAAAGGAAAGGTAGCAGCTCATTTTTTTTTCTTGGAGCAGACATGTCGTAACTACGAAACACCCATTTAAAGCAAATGCTGCACGTCCAGGCAGCGAAGTGTTTTTCGTCCTGTCTGTCTTGTGTACGCGAATTGTGCGATAAGAGCACATCACGTGTGTACGAGGCTTCTGCGAAGGTTGTCGATCGCTCGCGAGCGCGCCCTTACGACCAAATTAGCGGTTACTGCTCGAAGGACAATGCCATACGATGAGTTCATCACCCTACGTCACGTTACGCGAAGTCACAGCAGCGTGACGCTGTGACGTTATAGTGACATCATATTGACGTCATAACGACGCCCGATTTTTATACCCGTGACGTCCTCGTGACGTTATGTAGCGACGTCATCGCACAATTATTGTTTGCATCAGACAGCCGACATGGCGCATATACATTAGGTGTGTGAATGCAGCGTTCGCCGCCACTACTCGGACTAACGTGAGTGTACCCCAGGACGACTGGCTGAGCGGTGCCGAGCCGCCCTTTCTCAGCCCACGTGCAGTTTACCATGTCTGGGCTGTCCAGCGAGCCAGGGCCATCGCCGAAGACATCGCACGATGCTCGGCGGACGATAGCTCCTGGAGGCCTAGCCCTGGCCAGTAATTCCTCGTTGGATCCTAATAAAGTTCATTACCTACCTACCCACTCCTCCCAACCCCAACAGTTACTTTGTCTTTGATAAGGCATCCAAAGGTTTCGCCCTAAGAACATTAAATGCGTGAAAGTAAGTCTGAGCTAGACCGTTGCATGCTAACATAATCGGCTGAGTATGGAAGTGCTTCCCTGGCATACCTGCACGGAAGGGATACACCCCGGTGAGGAGGCCGATCCTTGAAGCAGTACCAGAGGGCAAGGTGTAGTACTTGTTCAGGATGACACCGTCCGCCGCCAGGGCATCGAGGTTTGGTGTTCGCATCTGGCGCGAACCGTGGAAGCCGACGTCAGCCCAACCCTAGACGAGAGCATTCAGCGCAGATGCCGCTCAATGACGTTATAATTACGTTGTGTCTAACACACAAACGAAGCATTGATTCGTTCCCATTCGTTTTAATCTTACAATTACGTACCGCTTTTTCAGCATTACTCATGTGCATAAAACACAAAAACCGGTGAGACATCTGACTTCCCAACTCTGCACTTAGAAGCTACGAAGTTTCCTACGGCCCGATCCACATTGGCAATATGCGCAACGGCATGCAGCTGCTTCTCTTTGCTCTGCGTAGTTGTTTTTGTTTGTTTGTTTTTTCAATCCAATCTCTGAGTATAGTAAGGTTTCTCGCGTCTACATGGGCTTTGAGGCTGCAGGAAAACCATTAAAATTGGCCTCACGTTTAGATGCTCGATTGATACAGAGCTGCAACACTTCTGGAAGCTTGAAGCATTTTTGCGCAGTGGATAAAGATATAGTAGTCGAGGGACACTGGAGTGACTTTGGTGCTCCAAATGCTCGCTACTTGGGCCCGTCATGTAAGTGCATGTGATTTTTCAATGAATGCATCATTGTAATCATAGTCGACATCATCTATGAAATTGCTTGACAGGCGGACAACTCTGACAGAGCTCATCCTTCTGCATTCGCGGATGGAAAAGTGTCTTGCATTGCGTACGTTTCTCGATAGGCTCGCTCGTGCGTTGACTAAAATACAATATTTCTGTTGAACACGCGACCGGAACCACCACGGACTCTTACTGCACGACATAGCAAAATATCTCGCACCCACCAAGCTTTCTGCCATGATGACCACGATGTGCGGCCTTGGCTGTCCCAGAACGAGCGGAGCCCCCGACAGCAGGAGTAGCAGCAGCGCGATGCACCTGTTAAGCATCATGGTCTTTCTCTTCACGGACAAGTGTCTTCAATGGACGAGTTACACGTAGTTGACGCGTCCTCTGCAGTCGACGGCACCACAGCACACCGTCACCCGGACAGCGAGTATACGCAAGGCTGTAATCGGATGGGACCCATGACGCAGACGTAGGCGCAGTGACTGCGGCGAGTGTCTTTTTTCTCACGCTGGCCTTGCGATGCCTGTTTCAGCGACTTCCTCGATTGGCGGCATTCTCGGGGAGGTTTCGGACAAGTGTGCTACGTCCACCGATTTGAACGAGGTGACGCGCGGCAGTGCTGTCTTACGTGATAATTTACCATTTTACGCATCGTCTTACACGACGCCAAGCTACGCCATGTTTATTTTGGTTACTACCCGATGATGATAACCTCCCACACCGTGGCTCGTACCCTCTAAGGGTGTTATACTACTACTACTACTGCTACTGCTACTACTACTACTACTACTACTGATGATAATATCAATATTACTAATATATGTTGTTTTACGTCTCAGAATCGCTGTATACGTTTATTGATTGATATGTGGGGTTTAACGTTCCAAAACCACTATATGATTATGAGAGACGCCGTAGTGGAGGGCTCCGGAAATTTAGACCACCTGGGGTTCTTTAACGTGCACCCAAATCTGGGTATACGTTTATGAGGGACGCTGTATAGTGGAGGGCCCCTACATATTGACCACATCATGTTCTTCGACGTGCATGACATCACACAGTAAATGGAGGTCCCACAAGAACAATGATAGAAATGGTTCAAGGAGCATGCCTTTAGGGCCATTTCTGGATATAAGTGAAGGGACTTCAGTTTCGGTGGTAAGAGCCATTGTTTGTATCGGCCGCAAAAGCTGTAAAGACCATTGGTAAAAAAAACACGATGAAGTGACTAGATAAAACGCTATTCACAGCTCAGGGATCGTCTAAGTGCCTTTAGTATCAGTCTCTTTTTGTTTTTGTTATTTTCAGAAGAAATTGTGTCTATCGGTCAATAAGTACAACTCTGGACTAATGTATTCGGTCTGTATCTGCACGTGGTGTATACCACGTGAAGATCACGTGCTTATACGCAACAGCAGTCTGTCTGATACGCATGCCCATCATGCCAAAAATAATAAAGAAAACTTTAAAAACTTCATCAGATAAAATATCCACGAGCATTAGGTTTGGCGCTGAACGAACGAAAGCTGCGTTCTACTACGTTACCATTTTCTCTCTTTTTTAAAAATATTCATAATCATTTTACCCGCCATGCCCATAGCGCTGCGACGAAGGAAACACCATTTTTCAGACTTATTCACATAGTTAAAGAAAATTTTCTTTGTGCGTGTGGAAACCATTTCAGACAAAAATGACATAGGACAGAGAACACTCATATAGCCCACTCATCCGCACATGTGCAGGGCTCTTCATTAGGTGGGTCTGGTTCCACCGCTGCAACACCCATACCCCCCCCCCCCCCCCTCCTTGCAGTTGTGATCGGGTCCAAAAAGAAAAAAAAAGACTCATAAAGGGCCCCAGAAGCATTAGCTCAAGAGGACTCGAAAGCGAAAGATCACCGTCTTTCATCTCAGACGGGGTACTTGTCGATAGTTATAGCGCGAGAACAGAACGACGACGCAGAGACAAGGGCACATCGTTCTGTTCTGCGTCGTCGTTCTGTTCTCGCGCTTTAACTACCGTCATGTCATACCAACTAGCCCAAACTACCACACTTCTGGTGTACTTCTCCTCGCATGCGCCACTCCAAAAGCTTCCTGCACTTAACGGGGTTTTTGCACGGCCTCGGAGATAGGAGGCATTGGAAGCTGTCTGCGCCTCACCTGGTTTTCTCATTGCCTCCATCATAGGTCCGGCTTTGACGACGATGTCCCATGATATCATCATGTAACGGCATGTAACGGCATGCTATATGGCACCATCAAGAGGGCACAAGGACGTCATGACAATGAGACAGTTTGTGGCGTTTTGAGACGTCACGATGGCGTCATATGGCGGTGTCATTCACGGGATGGGGATTTTCTGCCACGCTCGTGCTGACGCCGACGACAGTCGATTTCCGCGTTTGATAAAGCATTTAGTGTTCTGGCCATAATAATGCAAGCTTCGCAATAAGTGCGAAATTGAAAGTGGAAGCGATGGCGCGCTGTCCACAGTGACCTGCATATCAGAGTAACGGCTAAGCAAAGGTATGGACAGACTTGGCAGTCCACTTCGATGGTTCTGGTGGTGTGCGTCCGCGTCTCCTGTCTTCGTCTAAGTCGTGCCCTGTGTATGCATGTATGCTTCATCATGCTCACAAATTGCCCCGCCGCAGTGGTCTAGTGGCTAAGGAACTCGGCCGCTGCCCCGCAGGACGCGGTATTGAATCCCGGCTGCGGCGGCTGCATTTTCGATGGAGGCGAAAATGCTGTAAAGCAGTGATGTTTTAAATCTGCGTGCACGTTAAAACACCCCGGGTGATCAAAATTTCCGGAACTTTCCACTACGGCGTTTCTCATAATCATATGGTGGTCTTGGGGCGTGAAACCATATCAATCGATCTTCACAAATATCTTGCGCTTGTTTGCTTCCAATATGCCTACCCTTCATCGAAGTCAAGTGTCAGCTTTCAACAACAAATGGAGCTCAGGTGGGTCTCCCGTGCTTTCAGCCAAGACGACAGTCCATCTTAGTTTTCTTTCCCAACGACACTGTCATCCCCCTGTCCTCCGAAAGCTCTCTATGAAACTTCGTTTTGCAACACCTCTACGATCGCAGGCATTGTAAACTTTTTTGGACTTCACCCGTTTTTACGTTGTGACCGTGATCACACTGCCACGCTTACTCATCGTGTTTCATGACCACGCCGGACATGAATGAATCAATGTACAGTCGTCAGCAACCTTAACACGAACGCTTGATAGCGTGTCCAGAAACAGTTTGATTGACGCTAGTTCCACGTATCTCTGGGTTCTCTTGCCGAGTTTTTACCCATGCATGCCAACGTACCGTCCAAACTTACCAATGTATTGTCATGCCAACAGCGCCCAGCGCTTAGCCGCTCGCATCAGTCAAAGTAGTCCAGGTCACGCGTCGGAGCGTTCGTGTTAAGCTTGCTGGCGGCTGCAACGTTCTGGCAGAATGGCCGCCAGTTCGTTCACGTAAACGCCATTTTGAAACTACCTGTTTTGAATTTCCGGCACGTAATCCCCCCCTTTGCGTAACCCCTTTTGGAGGTTATGCGAAGGTGCGCTATGAAAAGAATTTCCACTCTGGCTGACAGTTCCTCCCGCACTACCTTTCAAAACAGCACGGTAAACGTATTCGCTCGATGTGAAACCAATTGCTTACGTATTTCGCATACGTGTCCCTTTACGTCAGTGCCTTCACGAAGCATTATGAGTACGAAAAACTTTATTGAGATTATGTGAATGTGATTTAGTTACTAGTCAAACACAAGTGGCTGAATGAGGAGCTGCTCCCTTGGCATACAAGCTTGGAAGGGGCACACCACAGTGAGAAGGCCTATCCTGGATGCCTCGAAAATCATGTATCATAGTGAACACATGAACAAGGGCATCGTTTGGGATCGCTAGGAGCCTGTTAGGAGCCTTTGGGCATCGTTTGGAGACTGTTTTCGTTATAGTTATCGAGATAGTATGACATGGTATCGAAGAGCCCGCTTTAAAGATTGTCGCCCCCCCCCCCCCCGCGATGCGCTCGCGCGCTTGTCTCGCGATGACGACCTGTGGTACATCTTGTGCTCTAACCGTTAGTGAGAGAGACAGAATGAAGATCATTCACTGCAGCGCCCGCTTTCCGAAACGGGCGTATAGCTCACATAAAAAAGTTACAACTTTAACAGTTACTCCTGTGTATGGATCTTTTTTTACGGAGAGGAGGATTTCCTTCTTTCTAGGATGTTGCACGAGAGTACGAAAGCCAACGTCACAGCCTTGGCAGTGCATTTTTTGGGGCGGTGACGCGTGCTAACAACAGCCTAGAGAAGACTATGGGGGCGCCCAGAACGCCTTGAGTGAAAAGGTCTATACTTATGTGATTCTTATGAGAGAAAAGAAGATAAAAGTGAGCCCCGTAACTGTCTGAATCATAGTGCGACATACTTGTACGTTCGTTTCGTGCGTCCTTCTTTGTGTTTGAGCAGCGCACCTTTAGCGTCAAGCTGTGACAGTCTTAGTTCACGCTAATCCTGTGCATGTTGTTTCCGCGCGACCTCTCTTATTGAGCAGAGCGTTGCTTGTTTGGAGCGGCTTGCCGTTCTTCGCGCCACGTTATAATTTGTTCACATCGCGGTCATTCATTCACGCTTGTGGCGAGACGCATGCACAGCCAATGCTCAGCTACTTCTGAGAAGGTGCGTTTCACTTTCGTGCTTTACCGATTCCTGTGACATAGCGATCAGCTACGTTTTTTTGTTTCATTTTGTTTCAGATTCTCAGCAATCCCATGATTGATGAGAGCGTAATGGGGAGAGTCCACAGCTTCAGTGGCGCAACTATTTCTATGCGCCGCTATACCATCACGTGGTTGGTAAGATAGTGTCAGGGGCAGAGGTCACAGCTATCACCGTTCCAGGCTCTGGACGGACGAATGCGAGTATGGGACATTAATGACTTTCGCCTGAATATTCAAATTCCCAGTGCAAGCACTATCTTTTATGTAGCAAATGTCAGTCTCTCACTCTGTCAGCATGCTATGAACATCGAAATTCTTATTTTGGGATACCTTTCGAAGGAGCGAACCATAATTAAGTAATTCAAACTAGGTAGAACTTCCGGAATATAGTTGCTTGGAGCAAGAAATAGCCTATGAAGAGGGCGAAAACCCATCAAGGTAGCAACCTAGTCTGTCAAGCTTGCTTGTCAAAGCAGTGGGTCTAGCGACATTTGCTGTTGATAAATTTTTTGTTTCTTCATGAGTAGGCAAGCTACCATTTCGCTTAGTAGTCATCACAAAAGTGAAACTCGTCTCCTTTAACACAACACATTATCGTACTTCGCGTTAAAGTACATCTGGGGCAGTTCCTGAAGAATGACAAACACGCATGGTGACAACATTTCTGCCTATGTATGAAATGTTTCTCTAAGAAATTTTTCAATACCCCTTAAATATTATATTTAACTCAACGTTTCTCTAACTAGACAATTTTCCAGAGCCGCCATCTCGATGTTAATCTATCGCAATTAATATTTTCGATATCCCGAGCGCCATCACTCAATAAAAATGGCAGCGGAACATGTCATTTGGTATACAGGTTCTAACATTTTGAGAATGTACTATGTTTATAAGGCGATAAATTGGGGTCTCGGTTTCGGAAAAATTTATTGTCGGTCTGTACAACTTTATTTCTATTTCAACAACGTCATCTCGTAACAAATATATCAGTCTTCAAGAAGCAGCGCAAAAAAGGCACCGCTCACTTCTTCCTCTTGCGAAGAAGCTCAATGTACTTGGTCTCCCAACCGGGCTCCTCATCCAGGCCGTTGCCGTACGAGATGGTCTGACCCATACCAAGACCAGCAGCGAATAGCTTCTTGTAACTGAGATCAAGCGATAGCGGGTCGACGACGGCCGCAGCTGGAGTGGCGTGATGCACCACAGCCGCAGCTGGAGTGGCGTGATGCACCACAGCCGCAGCAGGGGCAGCGTGATGAACGGCAACAGTGGCCGGAGCCGCGTCATGGACCAGTGTGGGCTGCTCCTGGACTACGGTCACGGGCGCAGCCTGCTGGACTGCGGCTGCCGGAGCATGCTGAACGATGGTCTTGACGTGAGGAACAGAAGCAGGGGCTTGCAGGAAGGCGGGAGCTCCCAGGGTGTGTCCGAAGCTTAGGCCGGTTCCGAAAGTGGCCACTGGAGCCGACACGGCGGCCGTCTTGTATGCGACGACCTGAGGAGCGGCGGCGGCAACATGTTGTACTACAGCCGGCGCCGGGGCGTGGGCTACGGCGACGGCTGGCGCTGCTGGAGCGAATGCCGGAGCAGCGGCGATGATGTTCTTCACGTGATGGACGGCTGGAGTGGCATGGTGAAACAAGGCGGCGCCAGTAGAGGGAGCAGCGAAAGTGTGTCCGAACCCGAGACCAGCTCCGAACATGTTCAACGGTGCCGTGAGGGCGGCTTGGCGGTAGGCAACTACACTGGGCGCTGCCTGTACGAAGGGAGTCTGCTGAACAAATGTCGCTGGAGCTTCAGCGTGCGACTGCTGGACCACTGGAGCTTGGTGAACGACTGCAGCAGGTGCGGCAGCCGGAGCGGAGATGATGTGCTTGATGTGAGGTACCGCGGGAGCGGCGAGTGTGTGCCCCAAACCGATACCCGCTCCGTAGGTGGCGAGCGGAGCGCCAAGGGCGGCAGTGCGGTAGGCGACTAGGTTAGCTGCCGGAGCGGCGTGGACTAGGGTGGGCGCCGCTGCGAATGCTCGAGCAGTAGCAGCGACTGCCGGCGCTGACACAAACTGTTTCACGTGGTGGACGACGGGAGCGGCCTGCACAACAGCTGGAGCAGGAGCATGTGCTACGGAAATGGCTGGAGCTTGAGCTACTGCCGGCGCAGCGTACACGGAAGGAGCGGGAGCGGATACGATGTGCTCAACCTGAGGCACGGGAGCTGTGACGGTGGAGGCGTGGTGGACTACAGCTGCGGCAGAATCGGCTCTGTTCCCGAATCCGAGACCTGCACCGAAGGTAGCTAGTGGAGCGGACAAGGCGGCCGTACGGTACGCTACAGCGGGAGCCGCCGACTGGACCACAGCTGGAGTGGCTTGGTGGACGACAGCTGGGGCCGCGGCAACAGTTAACTGGGGCGCAGAGAATACAGGTGCCTGTCGAACGACAGTGGCAGCTGGTGCCGGAGCCGACAAGAACTGTTTTACATGCAAGGAAGCAGGTGATGCTGCAAAGGCAGGCGCTGCCAGAGTGTGGCCAAAGCCGAGACCCGCACCGAATGTTGCCAAAGGTGCTGCCAAAGCCGCGGTACGGTACGAGACGGCGGGAGCGGCGTGGTGGACAACAGCCGGAGCGGGAGCGGCTACAGTGACTTGTGGCACACTGAATACAGGTGCAGCGGGAGCATGGTGTACAACTGCACGTGCAGGAGCTGCTACAATTTGCCTAACGAGTGGAGCCTGCTGGACGACAGCCGTGGCCTGGAGCAGGACAAGTGACTGACAGACCCTGTGGACGGCGGGGGCGGCGTGATGGACAACTGCTGTGCTGGCCGTGACCGTACGCTCGGGCAGTGATACAGGCTGGCAGGGCTGCAAATGCGATCAGCATGTGAACGACCGCTGGAGCGGGAGCACACGACCTGTAAGACCTCACGTGCGCTGGGGCTGCGAACGCTGGAGCAGCCGAGGGTGTGACCGAAGCCGAGCCTGCGCCAAACAATGGCTATGGAGCAGCAAGAATCCGCAGTACGATAAGCGCGGCGGGGGCGGCGTGATTTCAACTGCTGGTGCTGGCGGCGGTTGACAGTTAAGCTCGGGGCATGAATCAGGCGGCAGCAGGGGCTGCAAATGTAGGTGCAGCATGGGAAACGACCGCTGGAGCGGGGGCATCCACGACCTGTCTAACTGCACGGTTGCTGGTGCTGCAAACGCCTGGAGCGCGAGGTGTGGCCGAAGCCGAGACCCTGCGCCAACATGGGCTCCTGGAGCATCAAGAGCACGCAGTGCGATAAGCGACGGCGGGGGCGGCGTGATGGACAACTGCTGGTGCTGGCGCGGTGACAGTTACGCGCGGGGCAGTGAATACAGGCGCGGCAGGGGCTGCAAATGCAGATGCAGCATGGTGAACGACCGCTGGAGCGGGAGCAGCCACGACCTGTCTAACCTGCACGGGTGCTGGGGCTGCGAACGCCGGAGCAGCGAGGGTGTGGCCGAAGCCGAGACCTGCGCCAAACATGGCTACTGGAGCAGCAAGAGCCGCAGTACGATAAGCGACGGCGGGGGCGGCGTGATGGACAACTGCTGGTGCTGGCGCGGTGACAGTTACGCGCGGGGCAGTGAATACAGGCGCGGCAGGGGCTGCAAATGTAGGTGCAGCATGGTGAACGACCGCTGGAGCGGGAGCAGCCACGACCTGTCTAACCTGCACGGGTGCTGGGGCTGCGAACGCTGGAGCAGCGAGGGTGTGGCCGAAGCCGAGACCTGCGCCAAACATGGCTACTGGAGCAGCAAGAGCCGCAGTACGATAAGCGACGGCGGGGGCGGCGTGATGGACAACTGCTGGTGCTGGCGCGGTGACAGTTACGCGCGGGGCAGTGAATACAGGCGCGGCAGGGGCTGCAAATGTAGGTGCAGCATGGTGAACGACCGCTGGAGCGGGAGCAGCCACGACCTGTCTAACCTGCACGGGTGCTGGGGCTGCGAACGCCGGAGCAGCGAGGGTGTGGCCGAAGCCGAGACCTGCGCCAAACATGGCTACTGGAGCGGCAAGAGCCGCAGTACGATAAGCGACGGCGGGGGCGGCGTGATGGACAACTGCTGGTGCTGGCGCGGTGACAGTTACGCGCGGGGCAGTGAATACAGGCGCGGCAGGGGCTGCAAATTGCAGGTGCAGCATGGTGAACGACCGATGGAGCGGGAGCAGACACGACCTGTCTAACCTGCACGGGTGCTGGGGCTGCGAACGCTGGAGCAGCGAGGGTGTGGCCGAAGCCGAGACCTGCTCCAAACATGGCTACTGGAGCAGCAAGAGCCGCAGTACGATAAGCGACGGGCGGGGGCGGCAGATGGACAACTGCTTGTGCTGCGCGGTGACATTACGCGCGGGGCAGTGAATACAGGCGCGGCAGGGGCTGCAAATTGGGTGGGCAGCATGGTGAACCGACCGATGGAGAGGGGAGCAGCCACGACCTGTCTACCTGCACGGGTGGGGGGCATCGCGGGCCGGGGGGTGGGGGCCTCTCGCGAAACACGCTACGGATCAGAGAGAGTCGTATGGGCCGGAAGCCGGAGACTGCTGTCCGGACAGTCGCGGGCATGAACAGGAGCGCAGCTGCAGTGCATGCTGGGGGATCAGTACGCTGTAACGCAACGGCGGGGGGAGTGTGCGAGCAGCCGAGACCTGACAAATGTCGCGGGGCGCCAGTTGGCAGTACTGTAAGCACGAGGGAGGGCGTAAGTGGACTGACAGTGGTGCGTACTGGTTGTGAACACGAGGAGACGTAAAGCAGTGCGCTGGTGCGCTAGGTGAACGAGGAGCCTGTAGCGTGAGTAGCATGGTGAAATCGGAAACTGTTTGGCGCAGGGGCTGACACGAACTGCTTAACATGCACGGGCGCTGGGGCTACGAAGGCTGGTGCAGCGAGGGTGTGGCCGGAGCCGAGACGCGCTCCGAGCGTCGGTACTGGAGTGGCAAGTGCAGCTGTACGGTACGCAACAGCTGGGGCTGCGTGATGAACCACAGTGGGGGCTGGTGCAGCGACTGTAACACGTGGAGCGGCAAATACAGGCGCAGCCGGTGCCGCTACTGTAAAACGAGGAGCAGTGTATGCGGGAGTGGCATGGTGAACAACCGCTGGAGCGGGAGCAGACACGAAATGCCTAACATTCACTTGCGCGGGCGCTCTCAACGCTGGAGCTGCAAGAGTGTGACCGAAGCCGAGACCCGCTCCGAAGGTCGCTACAGGAGCGGTATGTGCAGCAGTACGGTAAGCAACAGCGGGGGCAGCGTGATGGACCACAGTGGGGACTGGCGCGGCGACTGGAACACGCGCAGTGGCATAAACAGGCGCAGCCGGTGCCGCTACTGTGAAACGAGGAGCTGCGTATGCGGGAGTGGCATGATGAACAACTGTTGGCGCAGGGGCTGACACGAACTGCTTAACATGCACGGGCGCTGGGGCTGCGAACGCTGGAGCAGCGAGGGTGTGGCCGAAACCGAGACCCGCTCCAAACATGGCTACTGGAGCGGCAAGTGCCGCAGTACGGTAGGCGACGGCGGGAGCAGCGTGATGGAGAACTGCTGGCGCTGGTGCGGTGACCGTTACACGCGGGGCTGCAAATACAGGTGCGGCTGGGGCTGCGAATCTAGGTGCAGCATGGTGAACAACCGCTGGCACGGGAGCAGATACGAACTGCCTAACATGCACGGGCGCGGGGGCTGTGAACGCCGGAGCAGCTAGGGTGTGGCCGAAGCCGAGACCAGCTCCAAAGGTCGCCACGGGAGCGGCGAGCGCAGCACTGCGGTAAGCAACAGCAGGAGCGGAATGATGGACCACCGCCGAGGTGGGAGCGGTGACTCTAACTCTCGGAACGGCAAATACAGGTGCAGCTGGTGCCGCTACTGTGAACCGAGGAGCAGTGTACGCGGGAGCTGCGTGGTGAACAACTGTTGGTGCGGGAGCAGAGACGAATTGCTTAACATGCACGGGTGCTGTAGCGGGGAGCGCTGGAGCGGCGAGAGTGTGGCCGAAGCCGAGACCAGCTCCGAAGGTCGCTACAGGAGCAGCGAGGGCAGCACTGCGGTAGGCAACAGTGGGAGCTGCGTGGTGGATAACAGCCGGTGCTGGGGCAGCTACTGCAACGCGTGGTGGAGTGAACACTGGCGCAGCTTGTTGAAGAACAGTGGGTGCTGGAGCAGCTACCGAATATCTAGGAGTGGCGAACGCAGAGGCTGCGTGATGGACAACAGTTTGATGTTGGGCCGACAGGAACTGCCTAACATGCACGGGTGCCGGAGCGGCCAGAGCAGGAGCAGCAAGTGTGTGACCGAATCCGAGGCCAGCTCCGAATGTTGCCAGAGGAGCGGCAACAGCGGCGGAGCGGTAAGCGACAGCAGGTGCGGCGTGCTGCAATACAGTGGGAGCGGGAAGGGCAAGTGGACGGAAAGCTGGCGGGGTGGGAGCCGCAACACTAAGAGCTGGCGCGGCGTGATGAACGACTGCAGGAGCGGCGAGTGTGTGACCGAAACCTAGACCAGCTCCAAATGTGGCCACTGGGGCTGCTACCGCTGCGGTGCGATAGGAGAGCGCTGGTGCAGCGTGCTGAACTACGGTCGCAGTGGGTGCGGGAGCGGACACGAACTGCTTATAGTGAACAGGCGCTTGCGCAGTCACGGTTACGCGAGGAGCCGCAAATGCTGGAAGAGCCGGCTGGACTAGTGTGGGCGCTGGTGCGGCGACTGTTACTCTAGGAGCAAACGCAGGTGCCGCTGGTGCAGCCACTGCCAAATGCCGCACGCTAACGGCTGGTGCTTGCTGTACGAAAGTTGTGGCTGCTGGAGCCACTGGAGCAGACACGAGCTGCTTGACATGCACTTGCGCCGGAGCTGCGGCGATAGTGTGACCGAAACCGAGACCCGCTCCGAAAGTAGCTACAGGAGCAGCTGCGGCAGCAGTGCGGTAGGAAACTGCTGGACCTGGGACAGTCACCTGACGGAATCCGAAGGCCGGATGTTGAGCTGCCGCAACGGTCACACGAGGAGCACTAAAGACAGGTGCGGCGTGTTGGACGACAGCTGGAGCAGGGGCTTGGACGATATGCTTGATGTGCACGGGCGCTTGCTGAAGCAAAGCCCGAGTCGGTGCCTGCACGGCGAACTGTCTCGCGAGCGGGACTGATTGAACGAAGGCTGCGGGAGCCGGAGCGGAGAATACTTGTTTTACGTGCACCGGAGGCTGGTGCACAACAGCAGGAGCCGGCACAGCTACTTGTCGAAGGACGGGAGTTTGTTGGACGAACGTTGTCGTTGGTGCGGCGACGGCGACCTGTCTCACAACAGGTGCCTGTTGCACAAATGTGGGCGCAGGCGCCGATACGATGTGCTTGACGTGTACGGGCGCCTGCTGGACAACCGCTGCAGGGGCAGGAGCAGCAGCTACGTACTGTCTGAATGGCTGTTGCGCCGTGGTGGCGGGAACAATGTGCTTCACGTGGACGCCTCCTCCTGGTGCCGGTCCGATCAAGGTCTGACCCACGGCCGGGAATGGAGCCTGCGCTGCGTAGGACACCGGCTGCACTACGTTGACTCTTACGGGAGCCTGCTGGACGAAAGCCCGTCGCACCTGAGTCACAGCCGGTGCATGGCTGAGGAAAGTGGCCGCCGGTGCGGCGCCGCCCAAGAGGCCGCGGAAGGCGACCTGTGCCGGCTGCTGGTAAGTGACAGTTGCAGCCGGGGCAGTGGCTACAGACACGGCAGGTCTCGCTACTGTGACAGGGCGCGCTGCTTGTTGCACCAACTGGGCAGCGCGGGCAGGCCTGTATGCCAGGTTCGCCGGGTAGGCTGTTCCGACGGCTACTCCGGTGGGGGCGGCAGGCTGGAGGATGGCGGCGCCACCACCGTGCAGAAAGCCCGCGAAGACATTGTTGGCCAGGCCCAAGATGACGGCGATGCACTGCGTAGAGTCAAAGTGGACGATTGGGGCAGTTGGTGATTCATGATAGATGTCGAAAACAGGGACGAGAAGCAGACAAGGCCAAGCGCAGACTATCAGCTGAAAGATTATTTATCCCGCACTACATAAATTTTGATGAACAGAAAAAGAAACGTTGGCGTTTTAACAAACTAGAAAATTCGTACACCCGAAGAAGGATGAGGCAGACTAGCAGATTCATATGCCAGATACTGAAGCTCTATATCCAGGAGAGCAATCAATAGGTTTGCTCACGCAGTTGTCAGGTTTCCGCGCTATTTTATCTGCTTCAATGATCATCAGGGTATGATCGTCGTTTGACCTGGTTAGAATCGTGCTTATGCAGTACAGCTCTATTCTGTAACTGCATATGACATCTACACCTGCTGACATGCTCAGCCAAGAAACCTTCGTAGACTTTGCGTACATTATGTGCGTGCTCACGCAGCTGCTTATTGAGGCACTTCCCAGCCTGCCTGATGTACCAAGCTACAACATGGTGGCGGAGTCCTGTATACTACATGCATGTCACGTCAGACAAACTGCGACTTGTGCTCGGCATTGCAAGAACGTTAGGGCTTATTGCTTGCACATGTCATTTTGGCAAGTTGGGAAAGCTTGTTTACAAGGTGCGGAATAAAAAGAACTTGCACACACATGTTTTGGCCGACCATGCGATGGGCGACCCTTTTTATGCAGTGCGTCATATAATTTCATTTGATAGTCTACGCTTGTCCTTGTTTGATTCTCGTCCCTGTTTTCTACCGCGCAGTATACATTGACTGCGTAGAGGATTGCACCGCTAGCATTCCTTGCAAGGGTCCACAACAACGAAAAAACAAACTGTGATAGCACCTGCAGTCACCGTTCGTTTAGATTAGGAACCTTCTGGTTTAGATTTAGAGACCAATCAGTCGTACAAGCAATATTTTTTCGTGTAGCGCGAGGATGTGGGCTGAAATTCAATGGTGCGCAGATTTTGCATGTTCAATGCACTGAAGTAGTATTTCAATGTGCACATGTAGCCGTCCATGAAGATGGTCACCAAACCGTTGTCACCCAACTTTCGCTTGTGACTTTATGCTCCCATTCAATACTTCAGAGTTTAGAGCCACTGAGTCACTGATACGAATCATTACATCATAAGAGAACATGCGGAAGTGGTTAACAAGAAACGCAGCCTATTGAGCAGGTATTGAAAGGACGTTCTTGGCAGTCTTTATAATTCTGCTATATCAAAGTTTACTATTCTGAAGTAGGGGGAAAATAAGAACGCAGCTTTTCAGAAAATGATCTTCATATTCTTAAAAAAACGTATATGAATATATGAAACTGTAAATAAACACTCTGCCCAACAAAGGCTCCGGAATGGCGTATAGAAACAGCTATATTTTGGAATGATCCCTGATGCATTAGATTTCATGAGCATGTGATAAATATCTTGTACAGTACAAAGCATCTACCGAATGCGTCGCCAGGCGATGTCACGTTTGTACATTAGTTAACGTATCAATAGAGCTGCTTGTGCGACCAGTTCTTGCATGGTTGTGCTACTGGACCGGGTGAAACCGAGTGCAACAACTAATGAAAATGCAGAGAGTGGGTGTGACAAGGTCGTCGTTGGGTTGCTTTAATTGTTTCTCAATTGGTTTTCCCTCTTCTCCTTTTCACAGCTGTTTTCCCACAAACTTCACCACTCAGCTGTGGCTATGTCATCTACGACCAAGATGGAGCCACTTATCGAAGCGCACGAGGCATATTACCCTGCTGATACAGCGTTTCTCTGATTTCGCGAGGTAGTCAACTGACAGGTGATTGCCACTCATGCACCATATCGAAGGCACGCATGAAGATATTACTGGAGCTTGTCCTAACAGCAATTCTACTGTCATTACTCTCTGACTTAACAGTTAGCTAATCGGTAACGTGACTGATTAACTGATTGTTATACAATATTCGAAAGCTATTCCTCGAATACTTCTCTGCCTTCGGTCTACATGGAAATAGCTGTCCCAGCTCTCAACCAATTTTGACCAATTTATTCATGAAAGTCTGGGCTCATGTGCCCGAGGCAGTATTGAATGTTAGCATGATCATTACGTCATCAAAGCATAAGGACTACTTTTTGGGCAAGTTGGTGCTTACTGATAATCATAATGTAGCACGAACAGCCAAAGCTGACACACAGAATCACACAACGCAGGCGTTACAAACATGTAAAATCGGTGACATACCAGATGTCCCAGCTATCCTTAGCCGAGAGAAATCAGTTGCATGTTGCTGACTGCCACCTTAAGCACTACAGCCAGCGTTTTTCTTTTGCAGGTAACTAATTTGTTAATTGGAGCAATCTTACTAACTCGATGAATGTTGACTTTAGGCAAGAAATCAGACTCGCAAAGTCTGAGAGCATCTTCAGGCTCACCTATCACATTATTTGTGATAAAGAATGGCTCACGCATGCACTTTTTTTTTCAACCTTCAAAAAAAGCCCGCGAAATTCAAAAGAACACGTGACTCGCGCGTAGGTGCAACACGAACGTGCTGCTTTCATCCGTACTTTGAACGAAAGAAATCAGCTGTAGCCACGACTCGCCGGATCCGTTGCAGCGGCAGGTGTATAAGTCGGTGGTGGCTGGCTACAAGGGGCACCGCTGCGCGCGCCTACTGACTGGCAACGGTCAAAGAAACCACCCCCAACTTAACGGCCTACCACTCTGAAGGATCCGGTTAGACCTCGAGTAGTGCCATCCCGTGGCGGCCGTGGTGACTATGCAGCCCACGATGCTCGATACCAACAATAGCTGTGTACTATGGGTTTTCGACATGGTCATTAGTGTTTATGGCATCATTTGTAGAGAGAACACCGAACGCGATTTCGAGTAGACTTTGAGAATACATTGTCAATTGCAGGCCACGTGCTGCGCCAAAATGTTTGGCTCATATGTTCTCGGGAGCTTCGACTATCAATAGACATTGTTTTCTTATCGTTCTGAAAAAGTGTTGCAGGGCCGCTTTTAAGTGGACGAAAAATTCTCTTTTTTTTTGTCGGTACCATGTTTTGTCGGTACCAATTAAGTGTCCGATGTTCCACTCAATGAGCTGAGACAGGAGGTGCTTCCCCGTCAAGATTGTTGCGTACGCCTGCACACGTATGAATCCGTGACAGCGTCAGACAGGGTGACTCGTATCCTAGGTGGTGAGTGTGGGACACTCTTTTAGCGCATGCTTAAAGCTCTGAGAGCTTCAACCATGGCCGCTCGTATCTGGAGTGATGAGTGTAGAACACTCTTTTTGGGCAAGGCCTTCGCGTGGCTCGCGGTCTTTGCGCGAAGGCGGCAGCTCAGCCATGAGGTTATGCCTGGTCATTTAAGGCATCAATACATCCGGGGCGAGGACCACGCTATGAATTATGGAGAGCTAGGAAGTCATATGACGCCACTAAACTACCCCGCGTTCAAAGGCCACAGAGTGGCTTTCTTTTAATGCGATAGCGCTAAAGAGCTCGTGTCGCAGAAAACCCGCCACCGGCGTCTGCCCCGTTGGTTGTGAGCGAAAAATCGTCTGTGCGTCTGTGACCGAAAAATCAAGTTACCGAGATAGCCGCGGGAGGCCGCTACTTGTCCACGCGTGCACGCGTGATTACACACAAAAAAGCAGCGCATTCGAAGAAAAAAAAAAGTGCTCGAGGTCACGAGGCGCCGTAGTTTCTTTGCCCTGCCACCCTCCCTGCATAGCTTCCAGCGCTTTCGTCAGGACGAGAGAAGAGATAATGCGATTGCACCATGCGACAAACTTTTGTGACTTCAATCGCACTGGACGGATTCTTAAAAATTATTGCGGCGTTGAATTCGTGAGGCAATAAGCTCTTCTAGTGCATTCATTCCATGGTTACTTGAAAAAGTGCTTCAGGGCCCCTAAACGCATTTTGTTCGACAGGTGTCACGAAGAAAACGAGCCCATTCGGCGATAATAGCGCGCGCTGGTCCAATCTACTGTGTGCGTGCGTGTGTATGTAACAAAACATATGAATAAGTATGCACTTAGCGGTTGAATGGCGTGCTAGGGGCCGGGATTTCGCTATCGCGTTCAACTATTATAGGCGAAGCTTAAATTTCTCCGAATTTTTCCCCCCTGCCTGGAAGCGCTATCCTTTTCCACTTTAAAAAAATGGCTCTACAACCTACAGGTTCACGCTCAGAAAACGGATTTGTGCTGCATCTGGCCTTGAAGCTCAGCCAAGGTCGGGTTATTAATCTTGATCCTCTCAAGTGCATCACGATCGAAACGGACATGCCACGTGTCGGTTTGTCCTCTCCTGCTCAACCCCTTCCTGTCCTACGGCCGGGAATTGGCGTTGCCTGGCATGCTCGACGACTTCGTGAATTCTTGTGCGAACATGAATGTACATGCGCTAGCGCATGCACTTGCGGCGTAGTAGAAGAAAAGTTCGCTTGTGCAGACGTTGTCCTCTGCGATACTCCTGTTCACGAACACTATAGCCATTCGTATGCCAACACGCAATCGCAAAGTGGTCAAGTATGAATCGCGCTATATTGGTGAGGTCTAGTTTCCAGCTCTATGAGCACCGTGTCTTGTTTTGTATTTGCTCTGTCTTAGTGGCCCTCAACCGCCCACAGCTTCTGCAGAACAATCAAAAGAGCAGCCATGCTTTCGTAGAACACATCGCAGCCCCGCCGTGGTGGTCTAGTGCGCTAAGGTACTCGGCTGCTGACCCGCAGGTCGCGGGATCGAATCCCGGGCTGTGGTGGCTGCCTTTTCGATGGAGCCGAAAGTGCTGTAGACCCGTGTGCTGCGATTTGGGTGCACGTTAAAGCACCCCAGGTGGTCGAAATTTCCGGACCGCTCCACTACGGCGTCTCTCGTAATCATATCGTGGTTTTTGCACGTTAAACCCCACATATCATCATTAGAATACATCGCAAACCACGTATTCTTAGTCAAACACGAATAGTTAGAAAGTACGATATGTATTAGCTGATATTCAGTGCGCTGTTACCACGTCGTAGCGTTACTGCGTTGTCACGTCAAAGAACGAAACGTATATTTCCGGGAACATCCTACGCAAAAATGATATTTTGAGAAACCTTCCAATGCCTGGCTCATCGATCAAAATTATGTTATCGTGCGGCTTGAAGGTGTGGATGACCTGTAGGGAAGTTTTGGGTCCAGAGTGGGCAAAGCGGCTTTTGCCTACCATTAATTGCTCAATATGGAACTGCTAATAACAGGGCAAAAGCGTTGACGTCGAAGACGACATCTCAATCATATTTGTCGCTCAGCTGCAGTCTCGGCGAATAAGCGTATCTTCAATAAGCGAATGGAAAGATGATAAAAAAACTGAAGTTTTCTGGCATGAAGGTTTAACAAGGAACGTCGTTTAGTAAGGTCTACACTGCACCGCTAGACTTCGCCTATCAAGAAAGTGCTCACCTTTGTCTGAATACCTGTATATCATCTTTCTTAGACATATTACAATGAATTGTTGGGTTTCACTTCCTGAAACATCACTGTGATTACGAGACACGCCGTAAAGGAGGTCTTCGACATTTTCGGCCATATGGGGTTCTTGACGTGCACCTCGCGTTTCGTTTCCACTGAAATGCGGCCGCCGCGGCTGGGATTCGATCCCGCGACCTTCGCTTCAGCGGCCGAGCATTATACTGTACCACTGAGGCGGCTTCCCGACTACTCTAAAACTCCCGTGGAACCTCGCGCGGACCGTGCTCGCACGTCATGGAAGACCACGTGGTCGCCGGTGTGGCAGAAGTCGACGCCGCAGAGTAATCCATCGGGAAGCCAGAGGCGTCGAATCGTTACGCGCACCGTCCAGCAAGGGGTGACGTGTGGACGATTTCCCAGAGCACAATCGCACTCGAGTGCAAGCGCCGCTAGAGCAATTGCTGCGTCGGGGTGTGTCCCCGGTACTCACGAGGGCCTGCATCCTGAAGTGTGGTGGCTGGCTTTTCCCCCCTTGTCCCAACCGTTGTGGCACTTTTCAAGAAGATGGCCTCTGATCCCTGGGGCCCCGTTCACTTTTATATACCGCCCTGAAGATCAGTCCAAACGATCGCTACTCCTCTCTGCGTACCACCTCGCCCGCAGAGCGACCGAATGAAAGGAAGCCTCCCGGTAACGACGGTCTCTTCTTCTATTGTGCCCCCCGCCCCCCTTTCTGGCACAACACAGAAGAGAAACCCCGTGCCTGCCCTCCTCTCCTTCCTCCGTATCCCCTCCTTCGACCCCACACGAACTACGATGTCTCGGAAAACGATCACCTCGACGATGAAGAGTTTTTTGTCGCATCGTCCCAAACATCGCGAGGCGTCTCCGGCGTGAGTCCCCCCCCCCCTTCCCATGTCCGATGCCGCCGCCGGATAATCCGATGAGCGCAGAGGTGTACGGGGTAAAGATAAGCCCTGGTTCGGGGGGGGGGGGGGGAGAGATATGCGCCGTTCGACTCTCAAGGAGTCGCGAGCGGGAGAGGCTGAGAGAAGGGCGGGAGGTGGAAGAGCCGCCACACCACCCGCGTGCGCTCCAGTCGAAACTTAATTCGGCAATTCGAAAACCTTCTAGCAGGACTCCCCTCCTTGCAAGAGGGTGCAGCGAGACTATCATCCTCGCCCTAAACTGTGCGCTATGCTCTGGGAGACGACTGTATTCGTCGTCGGAATTCGAATTCGGTTCAGATGGGCGAAAGAGGAAGAGTAAGGGAGATATGTACACGAGAAGGAAAGAGCAGACTTTCACTTTCATTTTTTTTTTTTGATCAGGAATAAAGTATACAACGGAACGTAGTTCTCGCCCAGAAGAAGGAATTTCGAAGATCCTACTTGTTCCGCGGAGTGAGGTATCACCCGAAGCCAATGAGGGCAGGAAAGTTGTAAAGGCGCGTAAGCTCTGGCAGACAATCCCGGCACAGCAACGACGACCTTGGACTTAAAGCGGAATCCAGGTTAAAACAACGGCGGGGAGACGTCTTTACACACTGCCGCCGACGACATCGTCCCGTAGGAACGTGCGGTGCCTCGGGAGCCCCGCAGATGGCTGATTGCGTGTGTACGACGCTAACAGGAAGTGTTTTCGCTTGACATCTAGATCGTTTTGTACGGCTGCTCTTCAAGAACGGGTGGTGTCACCTTCGATAAAGATGACTCTGCTGCGTTCCATAGTTTAGTATAATAAACAAAAAAATTGGAAGTATCGCTTAGTACGCGCTACACGTCGCCTTCACATTTCGTCGCCCCATTGAGTAATCACCCTGTCGCAACTAGACGCACTACAAGCGGGTCACCGCTAACCAAATAGTTGCGTTGTTCTTTACTGCAGTGGGTAGGAAGCTCGTCTCTGATACCGCAGTGTATACCGAACAACGCGGATTCGTCGGTGTAGCCTGCGTTCAAGGACGGCTGACGTTCCGATTAGCGCTTACTGCAACCTGGTTTGGCGGGAGCGGTTCTGGCATGGCGAATTGTCGATAAAATAGATAACAGTGTAATCCGATTTCTCCCCTTGTTTTTGTTTCTTTGCTCCGCGAACGTCTGTGGTGCGAACTTGCGCCGCAGCTGACATCAAGCCCCGTGGGTGGTGGCCAAGGGGGATTAAAAAAATACTGGAATGAAATCACAGCCTAGGAGTGAAGCCGTGCCCCTGGAAAGATGGCGCTGCGGCGACCATCTTACTAGGGGCATAATAAAGTATCGCCGTTCAGCGATTAAGAACGAAGCGTTTCCCTGGAGTGTAATGTGGAAACTTTTTCGGGTAACACAGTGCTCCAAGTGCATCTTAGTGTTACTAGTTTTCATATAGTGAGCCTCGTATTGGAGGCAAAGTTCTTGGCGAGTTCAGTCGCCCATACTCGTATATGTATAATATTTCGTCGGGAACAACTATCTTTCATTGTAGAACTAACGTAGAATTTACCTAACATATCAAAGCCACTTGATCTTTAAGTGGGCGCTACCAGAAAAGAGCGTGTTTCCGCCATCTTGGCAGGGGCAAAAGCTGGCTTCACTTCTGCTGGCAAGGGATTGCGGGAGTTTCCACTCCAGCAATTTTTTTTTAATCCGCCTTGGTGGTGGCATCAGTGAACGGAACAGCTACTGGAACGCTTTCCCCGTGCGTGCACGATTATTCACTTCTGACTTTAGAAATCCGCCCTTCTATGAACCGTGCATCTTGCTTGGAGTGAGTGGTGCGTCTTTCATTATACTTAGTTGTAATAGTGACTAAATTATTTTTATTTATTTACAGAATACTGCGGTCGAAAGAACAAGCAGGGGGCATAATAAAAAAGTGATTCAAAATGTAACTTCAATAAAAAGAAATTTCAAGCAATAAAAACACGTTAAGGCGGTAGAACACAGGATAACATTTGAACAAAGTAAAATGGCAGCAAGAAATTGCAAGTTGCAACCAGATAATGCAAATCAGATACAACGTGAGACAGTCTGAGATCTTGAGTTGAACGGTTAAAAACGGAAAGATACATAGTTATTGAAGTCAGGATTTTAATTATCACAGAACGATACAAAAGGTAACGCGTTCCAATCATTGATCGTCCAAGGAAAGAACGAGTTCATGAAAAGATTAGTACGTGCGAAGTAAGGTTCAAGAGTGTAACTGTACGTATGTCGAGTTTGTCTTGAGATTCGATTTCTTATATAAGTTTCTGGACTAATGTTAAATTTACGGAAATAAAGTGAGTGTAGAAACTTCAGCCGGGCAACAGCTCTTCGGTATTGTAAAGTAGGGATATCAATAACGGCCATGATCGTTGTTGGCGAGTCATTTCTGTCATTATTACCTTTAATTTTAAAAAAAACAAGCTGTGCGGTTTTACTCATTTAGAACCTAATTTATCCGCAAAATAAAGGAATGGAGCACATTGTACACACACGTGTTGTTACGAAATAGCCCGACTGAAGTGAAAGGTTGACACTCGCGACGCGCTAGAATTGAACGCTAAAAGACACACTGAAGCACAGGTAGGACACACACGAGCGTGAAGTAACAGCTGTTTATTCGACGGAAATACGACAAAGATATATAGAGTGAAAGGCAGAAGAAAAGAAAGAGCGTAAACCTGTGCACTGTCCACCACAATGAAGCAACCATCTGCGAGACGTCAAATCTGGCCTTGTCAACTGTCGAAAATATCTACGTAAAAAAAAACATGTTCATCGTTGGACAAATGAATTCGTGGTACACTAACACACCTGGGGGGAAGGGGGAAGGGATTTTAAATGAAAAGAAGAGGAAAAAGAGCCCCGTAGTGGTCTCTCAAGGGGAGGACACCTCAACAGTAGCTCACGAAGGATGGGGGTAGAGAAGGGATTAAAAGGATAGGATAAAAAGGTAAAGAGATAGAGAGAGAGAGGAAGGAGTGAGCGAGGTGCAGGGACAGTGAACGACGGAAGTAAGGAGAAGACAGGAAAGATGGACACGGTTACAGGAGTCCGAGGACGGGAAACCACTGGCGAGAGCTCTTATTGGCGTCAGGAGTTGGCGTAGGGCAAGCTCAGTCGGCCAGAGCTACGCTGTCTTCGTCGTCGGGGACCGGCGTTAGGAGGTGGTGTAAAACTAGCCCAGTCGGCCAGAGCTTCGCTGTCGTCAGAGATCGCGAGGGCACAACCGGTCGGCACGGAATCCAGCGAGCGAGTCACTAACACAGCTGTCTTCACCGAGCCTGCGCATCATGAAAGCTTCAATGATTTCTATTTCCTTTTTGTCTTTGGATCTTGATAAAACAATGGTGTTTTTTTGAAATTTGGCTTACAAAGACACTTCATGCAATGGGTAGCTAAGTTACCGGGGGTGACTAATGTGCTTGCAGTTGTAATCGCGCTCGCGTAAACGTGAATTAAGACACCTATACCAGTTTGCATAACGTACCGATTTCCGCATGGTAAAGAAGTCCCGTATACAATTTTTTTTTTCATATGATACAGACTTGTTGACATGCTTAACAGAACATGTATGGTTGTTCTTCTGGTGGTTGCCGTTTACTTGGTGACAAAGTGAAATGAATTTGTGAGGTGCCGTGAAGGTCGTGGGTACGCCATGCCTGCTGGCAATCTTTTTTCAGTCCGCGCGAAATGCCGTGGACTCGGGGCATGACAACAGCCGTCTCTTTTACCTTTTATTTTAATCCTAGGTTGGTTCTACACGTGTTTCCGGCTGTTTTCAAGAGCCTCTCAACCAAGGCAGTGATCAAGGCATCAGGGTAATTGCTGTCCCTGAATCTATCAACTTGCTTTATTAAATTTCGCGCTATCATGTGGTCACACGACTTTTGCGGCAACTGTTGAAAAGGTGAAAGGTCTGGAGTTATTTAAAAGCACTCTATGTGCGTGACTTGTGCGTTCACGGCTCTAAGCTGCGCAGAAAATGGGAATAGGCTAGGAGAGAAAATAAACTTTCTTTTAGTGAATAGGCTGGTAACGCCGGGGCGTCGGTGGTAAAAAAAACAATGTTTTTGATGTAATTGCACTGAAACACCTATTCGTCTTTTCCACTGACTTTCTGTTTGAGTTGTTACCGAATATATTTCATTCGGTCGTGTTGAACTTGGCTTGGACCCGACAGCTTACTCGAGATGAACATGTTATTAATTAATTTATTTATTTATTTATTTAGGGATTTATTTATTTAAATACTCGCTATAGTATTACACTGTTACATTAAGACGTCTTTCCGCAATACTTACCTGAAGTATGCACTGTTTACACCACGAAATTATATAATTTATATATTTGCTATTTCGCGTGAGTCTATCAACACCTAAGTTCATCCCTGTACCCATTCATTATGAACACTTCGATGAGTTTTGACAAAGCCTCTTATATGTCTATTACTCTTTCGTTACCATGATACGCTTTTGGATCGTCGATATCGGCGTGTTATTTTTGTTTTTCGTGCACTTCTCAGAATTTTCAAGTAGTTAGTACAGCCAGTCAGCTTTCAGAATCAATTTGAGTTTGCCCGTTGTGGCAACATAGTAATTTTTGATAGACCTTTGAGTGAACCAATGTGCGTGTATTGTCGCAAAAGTGCAGTGGGATGACGAACTTGACAGAAATGCGTGCCTCTCGGGAATATACTACAGTAAC